GGGGGGCATACCGTATCTCGCTAAACACTCTACATCCACCCAGTCATACCCGGCCCCCGCGCTGGCGATGATCTTGACGCTCTCCGGCAGCAATGCGATCAGCTCCTCGTCCCAGTTGCCCATCTCGCCGCCCGTGTTCCAGAAGGGCCGGAGGATGGCGTCGAAGCTGCCCCAGCGGCGCTCCTGCAGGGCGCGCTTGAATTCCGGGCGTGCGCGCTCGGCGGTCGGGGGCCGAATCACGTCGAAGGTGGCGGCGAAGCGGGCGTAGAGGTCGTGGTTGTATTTGATGGGGTCGCCCAGGTGGAGGACTTTGGGTTTCGGCATGGTTGGACTTTTTGTTTTGGGTGAGGGGTTTATGGGGGATTTTTGCAAGGGAGGGATTGGGTTTGTTGATGCAATGTGTTTGTATGTAGGGGGGTTGTTGTTCTGCTTGTTCTTATAGAGGTTGTTGATGCTGGATGCTGGGAGTGTGTATACTTCATCTACGAATTGGGAAGTATTCCCCATGGGGAAAGTTAGTATCCGATGATCAGACCCTACTTCAATAGCCGTCAAAGGCCGACTACAACTCCCAGCACCAACTTCAATATCCGACGGCGATTAGCCGACTGCATTCCTATCCTATCATACACGATAGTGCTTCGACTACTGCATTCCGTCCAACGCAATCACACAGCGTCAGCCGTACTCGCACCCTTAGCACCACCGCCAACGCCGCCAACCCGGCCCACCGCCAATCGCACCACCGACGCAATACTCGCACCCCCCAGGATATCAAACACGGCAATCTCCGCCTGCAGCTCCCGCGAAAACCAGTTCCGGAGTTCCACCGCCGCCAGCGAGTCCACCCCGTACTGATGGATCGCTTTGTCCACGTCGATCTCGTTCACCGGCACCGACAGCATGATCGCCACCTTCTCCCGTGTCGCCTGGAGCGCAATTTCGACCGCCTCGCTCGTCGTCCGGGCCGCCGCGAACCGGGCCGCCAGGTTGGAGCTGCCGTCGCCCGACGCAGAAGCTGACGCAGACGCTGACTGTCCCTCCGCAGGTGTCTCGAGCAAGGTAGATAGATGGCGGAAGAAGGACCGTTTCATCCAGTCGGCCTTGGCGCGACCGGTCTCCGCGGTGCGTGGCGTGATGCCGACCACGACCTGACTCTGTAGCGGCGACGAGCTCTTCTGGTTGCAATAGATGTCCAATAATCCGTGGAGGTCCGCCTCGGAGATCTCGTCCCACACGGTGTTGGCCAGGAACAGATTGCGCTTGTCCGGGTTCTCCCGGAAGTATCCAGCTGACAGGAAGAGGCCCAGATCTAAAGAGACGGCGTTCTCGCCCTGACTGACGCGGTACCGGGCCAGACCGTCCAGAAACGTGTTCCCCGCTGCGTAGCTGGCATCGGTCAGGGGGCCGCAGATCCCGCTGATGGAGGAGAGCATGACGAAGAAGTCCATGCCGCGCGGGAGAAGCTCGTGCAGGTTCCAGGAGCCCTGGGCTTTTGGCGCCGTGCATGCCTTCCAGGAATCGTAGTCGAGGCTTTCGAAGTTGCCGCTCTTGACAACCATTGATGCTTGTACGCACCCTTGGATCGGGGGCATCAGTTGACGACAGACGTTGAGGACAACTTTGAGGGACGCTTGATCCGTGATATCACACATTGGCGTGACGACTCGGGCACCCTGGCGCTCCAGGCTCGCCACCAGCTCGCGTGCATGCTCGTTATTCTGACCTGAACGTGAGAGAAGGATCAAGTTGCGAGCGCCGCGCTCTACAAACCAACTAGCGATGCTTCGACCAAGGCCTCCCAAGCCGCCTGCAATCACATACGTGGCGTTGGGTTCAAATGCAAAGGATGGTGTAGTATCCAGAAGTGTCATGACTTGCTCATCATTGCGAAGTTCCACCACTACCTTGCCCGAGTTTCTTCCACTCTGCAGATGGCGCAAAGCTTGCTCAAGATCTCCAACGCCAAATGCCTGTAACGGTTGAGGAATCTTCAAATTGCCTGCTTCAATCAACTTGAACACATTGTCTGTCAAAGCTTGTTGAATCAGCTGCGGACGGTCAAACGCCATCTCGGCAAGGTCCACCGCCGTGAAGGTCACATTCTTCTCAAAGTGCAACATTGGAAGCTTCGTGTTCGTTAGGATATCGTTCTTGCCAATCTCGATGAATCGTCCAAATGGCCCAATGCACTCCCAAGATGCGATAAGCATTTCGCCAGCCAGTGAGTTGAGCACAACATCGACACCCCGGTCTCCTGTCAGGCGTTTGATCCCCTTGGCGAACAGTGTGTTGCGGCTGGAGAAGATGTGATTCCCTGGAATGTTATAGCGCTCCATCAAAAATTGTTTCTTCTCTTCCGTCGAAACAGTCGTGAAAATCTTCGCTCCGCAATACATAGCAACCTGGATGGCTGCTTGCCCGGTGCCGCCTGCGCCTGAGTGAATAAGGACCGATTCCCCTGCTTGTAGCCTCGCCAACCGCGTCAGCGTGATCCACGCAGTAGTGAAGGCCACAGGTATCGCAGCCGCAGTCACGAATGACATTGGCACAGTCTCGTCCGCGATCTTGACGATAGACATGTTCTCACGTACACGAACGTAGTTTGCATAGCGACTCGGATGGAAGACAACCACCCTATCACCAGCTTTGAACCGCTGGCACTGGGACCCGACACGGACCACAACTCCCGCGAACTCAGCACCGAGCGTGTCGCTTTCCAGGCGGCCCAAGGCAATCAAGACGTCGCGGAAATTGAGGCCCACAGCTTTCACCTGGATTTCAACCTCGTCCGGCTTCAAGGGGTCACGTAAAGATTTATCCTCGACAAACTGGAGGGTATGCAGAAGACCTGGCGTGCCAACTTCGAGGCGGAGCGGTGGGCCTGCGCCGTATGCTCTGAGCTCTCTTTGCTGTGGTAGCTTCATCCTGGCGATGGTCTGAGAGATGCCTCGAGCGGCGACCAAACGACCGATGTGGATCACCCCGTCGATCACCCTGTACTCTGTGTCGACGTCCGTTGCTTCTGATGTGACGGCTTCGAATACCTTAGCAATCTGCCCTGCCTGGTGCAGGATCGTGCTTTCCTCTATGGATAAGGTTGTGATTTTCGTTCTGGACAATTCGCGAGCAAGAACACGAAACAAACCGTCAACAAGTCGAAACTGAGGCGAGGGTTCATGACCTCCCCCGCTGTCAACCCAGATGAGATTCGTCGTTGTGGTTATCAATCGTTGGAGGCCTTCGTATTCTTCCGCCTTCATGTTGTATGTGAAAGGAAAGTCGAAATCGAGGAGAGAGATATCCAGGACACCGGAAGAAAGGTCTCGTTTCTTGATATCCTCCAGACCTCGCTTCACGGCGCTAACTCCAGTCTGGTCAAGTAGCTCAGATAGCATATTCGCAAGCTCGACCTGACGAGGATTGGCCGTGTTGAGAACGATACCAACTTCCTTCTGGGTGAACGGCGCGGAAGGTTTGGCTAGAGCCATATCGGTCCTCGTCGCCTCCGCATTCGGACCAGAAGACACAGCGCTCGCAACGATGAGCGTCGCTTCATGACATGAAGTATCGACGTAGTCATCTACCGCAAGGTCACACCCTGAGAATCCTGAATCTTTTAACAAAGACCCCCATCGATTGGCATCAACACACGGATGGCTCTGGCGGTAGGATTCACCCGCTACTCAGACAATCAGCGTGGTTCAGCACACATTCAGTCGGAGAGACTTACAACGCCACCAACCCTCGAAAAGCCCGAACACAAAGCTAGCCCGAACCGGATCAGGATGCGTGATCTCGAAAAGCAACAATTTCCCACCCCTGTCGACTTATCAGCAGCTTCTCACATCTACCTCACAATTGACGTACGTTTTCAAAAGCTTCCGAACATTCTTCAAACTGGTTGCTAGATCGGCTGTTGCATGAAGAACCTAATGCATGTCAATATCAGCACTCTGCACCTTCGGTCGTGGACAGACACGCACCAGAAAAGCAACAACTAAGTCGTACGATCCCGAATCAAAGCCTTGGGTCTCTGGATCCTGCTCAATATCCAACACACGAAAATTCAACCGCCGCTTTTCGGTCTCGAAGCGGTTCACGGCGTCCGGGAAGAACGAGCTGGAGATGTCAGTGAAGTCCCAATTGGCATAGCGCGATGCATTTTCTATATCCGGGGATGCCAGGGCCTTGATGCAGAGCTCAGTCATTGCCCCAGTGCCAGCCCCGATCTCGAGGATGTTCATGCGAGGGTTCTTGTGGGCGAGAGCGTCGATGTATCTCGCGAGGGCTGTTGCCGCTGGAAGGCCGTACAACATCTCAGAATACACATCGGTAAGCAGATTGTCCTTGAAGAGATGAGGCAAAGGATCGTTGAGAATCTCCATAAGGTTCTTGCAGAGAGTGCTCACGAGAAGGCCTCGCTTGCTGGCGCTTTCGACCCGTCTATGAACCTCTGTTACGTAGGCCTCGTCGTCCATGTGATGCCGCCACTCGATTGAGCCGAAGTCCGACACATCTAGCTCCAGTAATCGTTTACGCTCCAGAATCCACTCAGTGTATAAAATCGTGTAAGGGGGTAGACTGCTTTTGTCCATCTCACTGAGCGGATCGGCGTATTTGTTGATGCAGGTCGCAATCAGGAACTCCATATCTCGCAAATGCTGCGCCGGGCCCTGAACTTGGAGTTCCTTTTTGCCAAACGCAGTTAGGAATCCGTGGTTGGTGAGAAGATCAGTGTCTGGCTTGTATTCGACGTGATGGCATAAATTATCGGCCTTGAATTGGTCTGAGGGTGAGACATTCTCTGGACTCGCGATTGAGGTCACTTTTAGTCCTTCCAAGTTCAATAGAGCCTTGGATACGTTGCGGTCAAATGCCGTCATGGTATACTGTGTGCTGCCAAGAGCAGATTGAACGGAAGTCGCATATACTTTGATGAGTTCTGCCGAAGGATAGCTTAGTCTACCTGTATTGGAGATCCAGAGTCGGGTGATGCTCGTGGGCACGGAGACAGGAATCGTTCGCTGTCCGGCGTCAGTGGCTAGCGCTGCCATCATTTGAACCACACCGTCTAGCGTGGTAGGGTGGATTGTATGCGCGGGATAGACCTCTGATCCTGTTGTGCAGTCAGGTTTGAAGACCTTGACTTCTGCAATCATGGCTTTCCCATCGTACTGCTTGGAAACATTGCCCTCAATGACTCTGAACATCGACCCATAGTAATACCCACAGTTGCGCAGCCCTTCATAAAATCTGCCTGAGTCTTCATGCGATGCACATTGTTCGCTTGCACGCTGGCCATTCTCGACAAGAGACGCCTGCCATTTAGCTTCTTCACCATCGCTGATGTTTGGCGTCTGCACATCGGACTCATAATGAGCTTGGATTGAACCCGAGCTGTTCTCAATCCACGATTCATTATTGTACGTGCAAACGCGGTACTCGAACCAGCCCGTTGCATCCTTGTTGGCATTTCCGACTCGCTTCAGGTAAACGCTCACCTCAACACCATCAGCATGACTTGGAATCTGCAAAGCCGACGAGAAGACCACGTCCTTGATGTCAAATCCTGTGATGCCCCGGCTCTGGTCTGCCAGTTGCTTAACTGCTTCGATAGCCATGACAAGCATGCCGGCGCCGGGATACAGGATGCTGTTGTTGATCTTATGATCTCCCGCCCATGGCATCTCCGAAAGCCGTATGATATTTCTCCAGCGGGCCTCCATGGGATTTCCGTCAGGGTCAGGCACACCTAGTAGTTCCATGTGGCCGAACCGACGGAATCTGTAACTTTTGCTGATGCGACTCTCGAACCAGTATGTCTTGGAGTGGTTGAAGGGGTACTCCGGTAAGTTGACGAGCACGCGACTGTTGTGCTGTGGCTCGGGTTCACCTCCATTGTTGACTGAAAGCAAGTCAATCGGGTAGCCGCTACAGTGCAGGCGGCCTGCCCCGTGCATCATGCAGTCAACGGCAGAGCGACCACGGCGCAGAAGTGGAATGTAGGTGATTTGATCATGCTTGCCCACGGCCTTGAGAATGTCTCCACAAGGACCTTGAAGGGCGGAATGAGGCCCAATTTCTAGGAGGTGGTCTGGCGCGACATTGCGGCGATGACTTCCATCGAATCTTCGAGTTGATGTTGTTGGTTGGGTACACAACTTTGAGAGAGTATCGTCGAATAACACGGGCGAAACCAGGTTCCTCACCCAGTACTCGGGTTTGGAAAGCTCCTCTTCCGAGATCCATGTCCCTGAGACGCTGGATACCATCACCGGCGGCTTCTTGGCTTTAGCTGGTCGTTCCAGCTCCGCTAATAGCTTTTGATATATTCCGGCAATCTCCTTCATCTGAGATGAATGATATGCGACATTGACTGCAAGTTTTCTTGCGAAAACCTTGTTCTCGACTAGGATCTGCTGAAGGAAGTCGATCTGGCTCGCTTGCCCAGAAATAGTGACGCTGGTGGGGCTGTTGATGCAAGCAACTTCAAGCTTGAGTTCACGGAAGTGAGAGGCCACGGACTCTAGATATTTCTGCACTTCTCGGCTCGACATACCCACGGCGAGCATAGCGCCATGCATACCACTGGTCAGATGCCTCGTGAGCTGCCATGCGAGAGAGCGTTTACAGTATTCGCCCTTTGCGCCACCTTCTTCAGGGATTGCTTTCTGGAACCGTCTGGAACAGCGTCAGCATATGAGCAGGTGTCATGAGAGCATGTCATATGAGTCCGGAACCGACTTACTCAAAACAGGAAATATCAAACGGGACTTTGCTCGTCACACAATCTTGACACTTGTCCCCATGTTTCATTGCCTCCATCGCAGCGAGAGCACCGGGTGTCATAGTACGGTACTTCCCCAAGATCCCGGTGAGGAAGCCTCTGAAGTACGCTATCTTCAGAGCAGAACCTTTCGTGATTGCACCTGCACAGTAACTGAATGTCGTGCAGCATATCAGCCAAGCTCATTAGTGGAGGTAGTTCAAGGAATCGACTTACGCAGCTGCAATCTCGCCAGAGGAATGGCCAACCACTGCATCAGGCCTGAGATTCCAAGATTGGAGGAGCTCTACCAAAGCGATCTGCAGTGCTGTGCAGAGTGGCTGTCCAAACGTCGGGTCGTTGACTCGAGAGTCAACTTCATCTCTCTGCATCTCGTCTGCGAGAAAGGTCAGTACTCTGAAAAGTCAAGGGCTCAGAAGCGCTCACCTAGAACATCCCACGCACAACCAAGCCTCTTCAAATAGTTGCTCGAATCAAGTAGACTGTCTTTGAAGGCATCGTATCGATCAATCAGTTCACGGCCCATAGCATGCCACTGGGCTCCTTGCTGCTTGCGGTTAGTTTGATCTTCAGACAGTAGCTATAATGATACTCACACCCGTGAACACGAAGGCTAAATGTGGGTTTGGCTTGGAGCATATAGCAGCACTAATCTTATCCATTGTAACGTGCAAGTCTTCCGCTGGCTTTGCAACGGCAAAAGCCCTCCATGTCAGTCGGCTCCGCCTCGCACACAGCGTAAAAGCCAAGTCTTGTATAGTGGCTACCGTGGGGCGGTCCATCGCTTCCGTATCAGCAACATACTGCCGCCACGAGTTAGCAAGTCTTTTGATGCCCGCTTCATCTGCTGCAGACCACACTAGAACGGCACGTTCAGATGTGGGAACCACAATGCCATTTCTCAGGCGGCTCGGAGGATCGGTGCCATTCTCAGGATGACCATCTGCCTGTACTGGGATCTTTGCGTCATGAAGCAAGGAAGGCTCGATGACAGTCTGGTGACGTCCATCTTCGATACCGTGCATGCAAAAGGTGTTGTAAGCATCGTCGAGAATGACATGACTATTGGCGCCACCAAAGCCGAAGGAATTGACAGAGGCTCTGCGTAGGCCTGGCGAGGGCCAAGAAATTGCATGCGTTAAGATCTGTATATATGTTAGAAGGAAGTACACCCAGGAGAGAACAAGTTCTTACCTTCAGATTAAGGTACTGCTCATCAATCTGAGGGTTCAGTGTCTGCAAATTGCTACTGTTTGGGGGAATGATCCCTTTCTCCAAGATAAGAACTGCTTTGATCAGGCCCGCAATACCACTTGCTCCCTCTAGGTGGCCGATGTTGGATTTGACAGAGCCCCTATAAGCTGCATTAGACTGCAAGTAATAGACTCAAGTTGCAGATCACTTACACGTAAAGTGGGTCGTCGGATGAGCGATAACCTTGAAAGGCTGATCCGATCGCCCTAGTCTCAATGGGATCGCCAACCGGAGTTCCTAGCCAATATTAGCAATATTATAGCCCCATGTGACTCAGTCTCTGCTCACCGGTGCCATGCGCCTCGAAATATCTGGTTGCCCGCATGTCAAGACCGGCTTTCCGATAGGTGTCACGAATCAAACGGACCTGCGCGTCTTTACTTGGCTGCAGGATCCCCGGAGTCTTGCCGTCCTGGTTGGAGCTCGACGACCGAATGACCGCTCTGACAGTGTCTCCGGCTGCAACGGCATTATCGAGACGTTTGATAATCACAGCACCGATGCCTTCACCTCTTGCATATCCGTTGGCACGATTGTCAAAGCTGTAACAGCGGCTATCGCGGGACAGAAGCCCAAGGTTATCCAAGCCGATCGTCATCTCAGGGGCGAGTATGACGTTACACCCGAGGGCAATTCCCTTTGTGAGAGGTCAAGGGGTTAGACTTGCATCTATAGAGGATGTGTGGTGGAAGACAGGTAGGAAGAGGGCTCACGAACCATCGTCGCATTACCACTCCATAGCGACTGACATGCCAAATCCACGGCCATGAGACTGCTCGAGCAGGCAGTGTCTACCGTTGCGCTTGGCCCTTGCAAGTCAAAGAACCAACTGATACGGTTTGCGATCATACTCTGGGAGCTGCCCATGGTAGCCGTCTTGGGAATATTCAAAGTGTCTTTGGTCTGGATTGCATGATAGTCGTTGCAGAAGGAACCGGCCATCACGCTCGTCTTTGAGCCGGCCACCTCGTTCATCGGAAGGCCCGCGTTCTCAAGAGCTCGATACACGGTCTCTAAGGCGAGGCGCTGTTGCGGATCCATGGCTTTCGCTTCGGTGTCGGAGATGTTGAAGAAAGGCGCGTCAAATGCCGCGAGATCACGAGTGAGGAAATGTCCTCCTCTGCAAGACACACTGTGCAACTTATCTCTGTTGGGATTGTGATGGCCATCGATATTCATTCGGTCCGCGGGGAACTCGCTGGATGCACATCGACCTTCAGCCAGCATGTTCCAGAACGCATCTTGAGTCGTTGCATCTCCGGGAAACTGGAAGGATAGCCCAATGATGGCGAGCGGGGGGACCGCGTCGGATGCCATGATGAAGAAAGCTGCTTGAACGATGAAATGTTATCACTTGCTGTACAGCCATGTATAGGAAGAGCCTGGGTGTCTTGAATCCAGATCGACTAACCCCACTGCTCCTCGATTTGACCAAAGGCTTAGCAGTCAGAAGGGTTACATCGACATCTTACGTGATGAGGGTGAGGTGTCCAGAGTCATGAGCTCATGAAGTGCAAGAAAAGAGAAGACACGGCACAGATGTGTTTGAGTGAATGAAGGAGGATCGTGTTCGCTTGGGTTGGCACGGCCTGGCTTTGTTATCCCTCCCGTCTCTTCCAGGTAGTAACACCGGTGAATTTTGAGGGATTGCTACAACTGGGCTGTCTAGCATGTGCTATCCATGACTCCGGCTGTCAAAACTGGTCCATTCACTAGAGTGGATGCAAGGCCGCATGGCCCAAATCAACATTAGTGCAACGAGCTTGCATGACTCGTGGGAGGTTCGGGGATCATCCCCAGCCCGAAACAGATAGCCGAGTTCTGTTCAAGGTTCCTATCAACGAGTCATAAGAAGGTTTTCTGAGAAAGGCAATATAATCAACTTGCCGTGCAGTCTCCTTCTCTTCTTTCTAACTTGGTTCCGGGCGGAGTCTGTCAAGTTTGCTATCTTGCGAAACAACAACTTTCTCTACTCACACACGGTCCTTCAGCATGCACATTCTTTGGTATGTCAACTCGAGATCAAATCAACCGTTGCCTTGCGCTTTACAAGTACTGACATGAGGCCAGTCTACACGGAGCCGGCTCAAACTCTCGAGTAAGTTCGGCTCACATCCCCATCACGCCCCAATGCCGAAGCCAGCCAGGCCAGCTGACAGCCTCAGGTCTTCGAGATCCAAACCGCAGCCATTCGGTACGAACTCGGAGATAACCACACCTACGACTTCATCGAAGGCAACATCTCTGCCTCAATGCAGCCGGGTAAGCCTCATTCCCGCTTCTCCTCTCCAGCACCAGCCTCCACAAGCCAGGAACCAAACGTGGTCGCAGGGATCGAACTCATCGCGACCAAGGACGAGCCGATGTACGCTTACTTCCACGAGAAGAACCCGGAAAGCGGAGTCGCCGCCTACCGACACCTGGAGGAGCTGCTCTACCACGAAGGGCCCTACGACGGCGTCATCGCGTTCAGCCAGGCAGGCACGTTGATCCTGACCTACCTCGCGTATCTCGCCAAACAGAAGCCGAACAGCCCCCTGCCATTCAAGTTCGCCATCATCCTCTCAATCACCCACCCACCCCTGGACTACGGTGCCATTCAAAGCGGGGAAATCCGGACGATAGACCTCGGAGCCTACAAGGATGTGGTCCGCATCCCCACGGCGCACATCTGGGGCTCGCAGGATCGGGCGGCGAGCGCGATTGCGGTGACAAATACCATATGCGCGGCCGGGGTGCGGTGGGTGTATGTGCATGCACTAGGGCATGACATTCCCCGGGCCGGGGCCAGGAGCGATGTAACCCAAACTGTGCACGTCATTCGCCGGGTCATCGATGCCGCATCTTAAGCAGAGTAACTAGGACTGCACCCATTGTAAAGTACCACTAGTGGATGTACATCATTTAGTTGTGACACGATTTTGTTTGCTTCTCGACTGAAAAGCAAGTGAAATGCAAGGTCCCGGTGAATCACGCATTTCACTCCTACCCGGTGTGCCGGGGTCGTAAGGGTCTGATTTCTTCTACCAAGAATGATCTAGTAGCAATGTAAGCTAAGCCTCTGGCTGAACTCTGGGCGGATCCGCCCAGTAAGGTTTAATAATCGATGATCTCAAAGAGTCCTTTCTTTCTGTTGCCAGGTATCGAGTACCGTAATTGTGCTCTTATATGTGGGCGATCCCCCAGGCATCCATCTGCTTTCGTCGCGGGAATCCCGGTTGTCACTGTAACATCAACCAGCAAGTCCCAGCGCAATGGATGTCAATCACAAAACCCATGGCTCGGTCCCCGAATCGCACGCTCTGCCATCCTTAAGTGCCTCTTCGGCCGAAGAACAGGAGAATGAGGCCTTTGGTCAGCTTAGGTACATGCATGGCGGTCGACTGTGGTTCGCTGGCGGCGGGTAAGTTTTAATCGATCTGACAGCATCACCGAACATTACTATCAGTGCTCAACCACTAACTACTACCTACTTGTCATAGTATCGCGCTGAGTCTATTCCTCGCCACGGCTGAGATTACAATCATCAGTACCTCACTAGTTACCATCAGCCGTCGCCTGGATGGCTTCGATCAAAGCACCTGGATCATCACCTCCTACCTGCTGGCGTTCGCGGGCTTCCTCACCGTCTGGGCCAAATGCAGTCACTTTATTGGGCTTAAGATAACAATTCTAATTTCACTGGCCATCTTCGTGGCATTCTCAGGCGGCTGCGCTGCTGCCCAGACTATGAGTCAGCTGTGAGTTTAGTTTCCCTGGTCACCCTCCCCCTCCTCCCCCTGCCACACCTGGTCTGATCGCGTTCGCACAATAGCATTATCTGCCGCGCCTTCCAGGGCATCGGGGGATCAGGGGTCTTTACCTCGTGCCTTTTCGGTCTGATATGCCTCCTGCCCCCTGCCAAGTATGACATCGCCAGTGCAGCGGGGTCAGGTGTGCTGACGCTGGCGCTGATCCTGGGCGCATTAATTGGAGGTGGCATCAGCACATCCGGCGCCTGGCGTTGGATCTTCCTGTTCAAGTATGTGAGCCAGGTAGGTCTGTGTCGACTGCCTCTAGTGCTGACATGCCTTGTTGCTTTAGTGTTCCGGCTGGGATAGTGGCATGGGCAACCATCTGGATCCTGGTTCCCAAAGACTTTGAGAGTTCCCGAAGGGCCGGCGACCAGATTCATGGGCTCTGGAACTTCCTGACCAAAGCAGACACCGTTGGCTGCCTGCTGCTGCTCTCCTTCTCCGTCTTCTTCGTGGCCGCCTTCGAGGAAGCGAACATCCGGTACGCGTGGTCGTCAGCCGCGATCATCGCGATGCTGACGATCTCGGGCGTGTTGCTGGTTGGGTTTATCACCTGGGAGTGGTCCGTGGCCAATCGCAAGTATTGGGGATTCGAGCCGATTCTCCCTTGGAGCATCCTACGTAACCGAGTGTTGCTGGGAGCCATCCTGTGAGTCGAAGCACCCTCCCGCTCCTCTTGCCCCCACTCGTTCATCGCCTGACAACGCGCCCCTCCCCCCCGCCAGAGGCTGCTTTTTAACAGGACCTGCGGTCACAATCCTGTACATCGAACTCCCGCAGCGCTTCCAGACCGTCAATCAGAGCACCGCGATCGGTGCCGGGGTGAAGGTCCTCACGTTCGGGCTGGGCTCGCCCGTCGGCGCGGGGATTTGCAGTCTCCTGGCCGGGCGCCTGCGCACGCCGTTCGTGTATCTGACGGCGGCAGGGTCCGTGCTGCAGATCGTGGGGGCCTTCCTCCTCTCCTCGGTTCCACCCACCTTGCATATCTGGCCGGGCCAGTACGGATACATGGTGATCGCGGGTCTGGGGACAGGAATTTCCATCGCGGCGCTGTTCATGTGTGTTCCGGTGGTGGTGACTACGGATCAAGGTTGGTATTCCTCTAGCCGGAGCTCTAGTGCTTACCACGCACGTTCAATAGTGTCCAAATGCTTTCCTCCCCCGCTAACTAGCTGACTTCGCTTGCGCAGCAACTGCCATGGGCCTGACGCTCCAAGCGCGCATGATCGGGGCCTCCCTCGGCGTGGCCATCGTCAACAGCATCTTGATCGATTACGTCAAGGGTCATCTTCCGGCAACCGAGGCAGCAGCAGCGGATCCGAACTTGCTCTCCGGGTTTCCGACGGCGACCCAGGAGGAGATTCGCAAGGTCTACGCGGTGGGGTACAATCGACAGATGTACGCGGTTGGGGCGTTTGGAGCGGCGCAATTGATTGCTGTTGCCTTGATGTGGAAGAGGGAGCAAGTCCGGTTTGTCAAGTGAACGGGCCACTCCACTCCCCAATCATTTCGGTGCACTTCACTGCAATTTCAATTTCTGTTGACGTGATTGAGCCTACTAGTGCAGCTAGCTATCTAGGTGCGGCGTCGAAGCAAATAACCTTCCCGGACCACCCAAATCCTAATCAGAGCAACGCATACGGGGCTGTCCTTGAACCTCCCTGTATGTTCCTGCTTGCTCGCGTCTTTCCCGTGACTCCCGGAGTCTGGGGTTCCGCATGCTACATAGCTACAGGTTATCACTCGCAGTCAGGCCGCGAAGCCCTCGCCCGAACTACGTCCTACCTACTAGATTACGGACGCATTGGTGCTTCTGGATGCCAGAGCTCTTGTTATCCTGTATGTAATGTTGGCCGTTTGCCCGAAAGACAGAAAAGAAAAAATACAAAGAGAAAGGTCTCTTAATTATTTCAATTCTAGTTACCCGGATGGTAATGATATACATCACTGCCAAGTAATCAACAGAAAGAGGAAGAAGAATACCATAAGAAAAAAAGCCACAGGTGGTTATTTCGATATCTATATCACTCCGCCCGCGCGCAACGCCCACCGCACCAACGCCGCAATGCTGCTCGTCACAGCCTCCGTGCGCGGGATCTCATGGCCGCCGCCGTGATCGTACGTCCTGCGTTTCGCCGGGTCGCAGGTCTGCGACAGCTGGATGCCGGCCGAGAGCCGGGGGTCGCGCGCGCCGTACACGTGCACCGTGGGGATCGAGAGCACGGTTTGCGACGGGGTGATCTCCCGCCGGATGTCCTCCTCCGACTCCCTCGCGCCGCCGTGGTTCCCGTTCCACCGCGAGGAGCCCTGCAGCAGGATCGCCGAGGCGTCGGCCTGCGCCGCGAGCGCCTTCCGCGTCAGGATATCCTTCTCCCACACCTGCGGGGCGATCTCGTAGCCGACCTGCTCCATGATGCGCAGCGGCGAGCCGGCGCAGATGAAGATCGCGGCCTTGAAGGGGAGGGGTTGGTCGGGCGCCTCGGACAGTTGGAGTAATGCGAAGGTGGACGCTACGGCGGCGCCTTGGGAGAAGGTCATGACGGCGTCGTAGGGTCCATTTGCCTTGATGTACTGCTGCAGCCGCTGGCGGCAGGTCGCGATCTCGTCGACCGTGTCGTTCTCGTACCAGGAGTAATAGGGGGGTGCGTAGAAGAGGTCAACCCCCGGGGCGGGGTCGGTCGTGTGGAAGCCATCGACGAAGTCCCATTCGATGCTCAATTCCGACAAACGCGAGCGTAACGCCGCTGGTTTGCTCCTTGAGTTAATGAAGTGATTCGGAAGACTAGAGTAGAGAAATTTTGGGGTGTAATTAGACTGACCTGTTTGAGACTTGAAGATCGCACCGCTGGTGCCTTTGCCATGTAAGCAGAGAAACTTCATCCTGATTTGTTGGTTTGGGAGCAGCAGCGCAGCAGGAGAAAGATACAATCACGATACCCGCAAGCAGGCCAAGTGAGGGGCAGAGAGAGTTGGACAGACTGCGAGGCTGCGAATGTTACGCGAGGCGGCCCCCACCACTGCATGACCACTGCTGCAGGTGTTTGTTGGCGCTCCTGTCGACCTCCGGCGAGGGGATCAATCTGCTTACTGCAATTGGCTCCGAGTCCGAGACCGAAGGACTCCGATTGCAGTTCGGCGACTTCGAGCACAACTACGGAGTACATTGTGGATCATCTTAGTGAAGGTATGAGCGTGGATTGCGATGTTGTTGGTTAGCCAAGTATGCTGACATTGTATAGAAACTCCGCGGGGTATTTGCACTCCGAGGGCATCTTTTGGGCGGTAGGCTGAATTGGAACTACTAACGCTCATATCCCGGCAGATATATATCAGATACAGTAGTAGGTGACCCAGGTGGTTTCAGATTCAAGAATTAATGTTATCCATCTGAACGCTGATATAAATTCCTGAGAGTCACACATTGCCTGAGCTTCGAGACCATGAGTCTTGAACTGTTTGTAGAATTGATCAAGTATTCGCGTGCAGTTCATGGATTGAGAGAGGAACTGAAGCTCCAACGTGGTTGGCATGGATAGACCAATCAGCGGACAGCCCGCCGTCATGCGACTCCGCGGCCAAAAAAATCCCAGCGGGAGCTGCGAACAGAAGCTCGCCTTCCGGTCCATTCCAGCTTCCACTCGCAGCTCAGTACACAACAACGACCTTCCCTTCTGTGCTTTCATCAACTATCGTTTGTAACTTTTACACCACTCAATCAAGCTACCATGGTCGCGCCATCTGCTACCCTGTCCGTTCTGAACCGCGCCGACGGATCGGCATCCTACCTGTGTCCTTCGACCGGCTCCAACATTCTAGGCTCCGTCAACGCACCCGTCGAGCTCCCCGGTCGCCGTGACGCCCTCAAGCCCGAAGATGCGACCATCGAAGTCTTCGTCAAGCCGGGCACTGCTCCCGCGGGAGTTGGAGAACGCTACGTGGAGGGAATTCTCAAGACACTGCTGGGGCGAGTGATCCTGGGACGCGAGAAGGGCTATCCGCGTCGTGGGGTGGTCATCACGCTGGCTATCATTGGTGGTGAGAGTGTCGGTAGAGGGGATCCGGTTCGTACTTCTTACGTCCAACAACAGACAGACGCTCTATTGGCTTGGTGGTCATCGACTAACGCAGTGTGATCTGCTTCTTCCGTCCAGTATCTGATTCTGCTCCCCGCGCTCCTCCACACTGCACTTCTGGCTCTCTTATCAGCATCCGTACCTTTGTCGATGACCTTCTCTGCCACGGTCCTGGCTGTCGACGAGTCGGGGCAGATCCGCCGAGAACCTTCCGCGGAGGATGCAGCCACCGCGCAGTCCGTTCACGTCCTCGCTTTCTCCTCGAAGGGCTATCTGCTGCTGAACGAGAGCCAGGGATCATTTGACTTTGACACGTGGGAGAAGGTGCGCCAGCGCGCCTCGGCTATCTGCCATGGAACACAACTGGTCAGCGCTGACGGCGATGTTGCCATGGCGGAGGATGTTGATGGCCGGCCTTTGGAGGGAACCCTGCGGGAAACTGTCGAGGACCAGGTCTATCGCGACTACAATTGGAAGATCAACGCTGCTTGATCATCGGCCCTACAACGCTACACCGGAAAAATTGCCGATGCCCGTGTATCGGTGTCTGCCGATCGATCGCATTTTAAGAAGATTCTCGAACACCCGGAGCCCCAGAATCGATTTTCCCGAACATGTTGACTACCGACGATTTCTCTCATCGGAGCCGTTCTCACCCAGTATCGCAGGGTCGGCTTTTCTAAACGGCACTACTTTCGGCGGCCTAGTGTGCACGGGGCGTCTTGGCGCCCGTCGCAGACAGCAGGTTCTATGGCATTCCATCATGTGGATACGAAGAAGAAACTTGCGCAGGAATCGTTAAAAGCACCGGCGCCGATTATTCAGGACCCTCCGACTTTCCAACTTTCCAAGGCGGGGGGGGGGACGTGCACTGGACGGCTGCCGGCTGCATTTCTGGATTTGTCCGAAAGTGGAACATGGTGCTGTGACAGGACATCCATTCAGGCAAAAAGCCACGGTGGGGGAAGGGTTGCTGCAGTGAGCTGGGTTCGTATTCTTAGCATCTGACTGGGCTGGATTCAAGAGATGCATGTGGAGCACGCGGAGTTTAGTCAATTGCGAGGTAATCACAGACACATCGCACTGTAGAAAATTTATCCACTCTTGAAAAAAGGAGCATCGCATGGCAAATGAATTGTTCGCAGGGTGAGCAACCTAGTTAAGGATAGGACAAGGCACACGCCTCGCTACACATGGAGGGATCTCCGCTTATCTCCAGACAAGCGGTAGTGAATAAAAATAGTTACAAATTGCCTGCAGTGTAGAAATTGCCCTGTCAGCGTGATTGAGAGGGGTTGCCTGTTACGGGGTTACAGAACCGCCCGACTTGGCAGGGAAACCAATCCATAATTTGATTACAGATGACACTATATTCCCTGGAAAGATGACACGAGGGAAATTGCTTGTGGAAGCGCATCGAAGGCGACACACTAATGTGGGGAGAATCAACAAACACTGCAGAAAGTTCGTTGAATGGTGTAGCGTGCACTGTAGCGTGTCACTCCGCAGGTTCTACAGACTAGCTAAGTTCATAATGACTTTTACCCCGTCCAAACCCCGTTACTTCCGGACTCGGCCTGGTTTTTCCATCCCGTCCCCATCCCATATCAGTAATTCAGTATTATTGTTCCATTAGACTACCAGAACTACTAGTGATTGTTCTAAGACAACTCCCCCCTCCTCCCCTTCCTCCCACTCAACCCACTTTATCTACTCACCTCTTTCCCCCCCCCCCCCCCTCCCCCTCAAGCCTCTGATCCTCTTTGCGACACCTGTCATTCCTCAGCTGTCCATGGCGTCCTCTCCGACAGACCATGGCCCTGTGAGTCTCTCCCAATTATCTCCTAGATCTTCTTGCACCACGATCCCTCCTTCAGACCCGACTTGCTTGTCCTCACCCTCCGCGGCCCCACCACTATCCGAATCTCCGGTGCGCCCGCCTGTCCAGCGCTCTGCCACCGTTGGCGCCCTGCTCCTGCGCGATTATGCCCTGAATATCGATCCCTCTGAGACCACGAGCGACATCCATACCGATCATTCGACTTCCGGGCCGCCCGAGTGCCGTCGCGAGACTCGCCGTGCGTCGGAGATCATCCGCGAGGAGTCCGTAGTGCCGTCGCTTCCGTCCCCTTCGTTCCTCCACCTGCGAAAGACCGCCGCCTTCTCCGGCCACCAGAGGAACGCATTATCGAGCGATTCCATCCCTCGTCAGACCATACTTAAAGCGCTCGCCTCCCGACCGTCCATTTCCGCGCAACAGAACCCCAACATGCCGCTGGCGGCGTCTCTGGGGCTCCTCCCTTCCAACTCCCCCAACCCCAACCCCAACAACTCCTCCGACGAGCCCACGCGCCGCGCCTCGATCAACTCCTCCTCCCAAAAACTGTCCGCTGCCCTGTCCAACCTACAACTCGGAGCCTACCTCGACCGGGCGGCCCCGTCGGCGCGATTGGCCCTGCAATCGCCCTGCTTCTTCCACCAACGCTTCGACGACGCCGTCAACATCCAGAAAGTGCTCGAGGAGATCACCGATGACGAGTGGCTGTCCCACTCGCGGTTGGTGCAGACCGCGACGGGCGTGCGGGAAGTGTCCAAGCAGCTGCAGCGCCGACCGATCAAACGCGCCGTCAAGACCGTCATGATCGTCACCAAGGCGCGCGACAACAGCCTGGTCCACCTCACGCGCGAATTGGCGGAGTGGCTGCTCTCGACGCCGCGCTACGGGAACGAGATCGGGGTCAACGTATACGTGGACGCGAAATTGCGCAACTCCAAGCGGTTCGACGCGCAGGGCCTCCTGGAGAAGGACCCGCGGTACCAGGAGATGCTCCGCTACTGGACGCCCGACCTGTGCTGGTCGTGCCCGGAGCGGTTCGACCTTGTGTTGACGCTCGGGGGTGACGGCACGGTGCTGTTCACCTCCTGGCTGTTCCAGCGGATCGTGCCGCCGATACTCTGTTTCTCCCTGGGTAGTCTGGGGTTCTTGACGAACTTCGAGTTCGAAAACTACAAGGATCATCTGAACGCTGTAATGGGCGACGTGGGCATGCGCGTCAACCTCCGCATGCGGTTCACGTGCACTGTCTTCCGGAAGGACCGGAGCAAGGGCGCTGAGGCCGGGGCCGTCGAGGAAGGGGAGCAGTTCGAGGTGCTCAACGAGTTGGTCATCGACCGCGGCCCGTCTCCTTATGTGTCTAACCTTGAGCTCTACGCGGATAACGATCTCCTGACTGTTGTCCAAGCTGACGGCTGCATCTTCTCCACTCCTACAGGTAAGCCTGACCTCCTTCCCCCACCCGCTCTCCAAAGTATGTCGCGCCGACCTGAAGATTAACTTGTGACACAACAGGCTCAACCGCATACTCCCTCTCAGCCGGAGGCTCCCTCATTCACCCCTCTATCCCCGGCATCCTCCTCACCCCGATCTGTCCGCACACCCTCTCCTTCCGGCCCATGGTCCTCTCCGACACCTCCCTCCTCCGCATCGCCGTGCCCCCCGGGTCCCGCTCGACCGCGTACTGCTCCTTCGACGGCAAAGGCCGCGTGGAGCTCCGACAAGGCGACTACGTGACCGTCGAAGCGAGCCAATACCCCTTCCCGACGGTGGTGTCCGGCAGCGGGGAGTGGTTCCAGAGCGTGCAGCGCGCGCTGCGGTGGAACACGCGCGGGGCGGTGCAGAAGAGCTGGTCGGCGGCGGTGGTGGACGGGGCGGACGAGTACGGCGAGGAGGGCGAGGACGAGGAATGGGACATCGACACCGACGCCGGGCTGGGCTGGACGGATAGTGGGCTGGGACCCAGTGAGGACGGGGATGCGGGGTCCACCAGTCCGATGAAGCGGCAGATGAGCATGCTGAGCATGTAGCCGCGTCTCCTTATGTCTTACTCCTCATTCTCCCATGGAGCGAGCTCACCGGCAGAGAACGGTGACTGGATTTCTTGGTTATTGGGCGTTGGTTATATTTTGGTCAGACAACGGGATACACACGGACCAATTCCTTCTCGGGGTTTATTTCTATCGGTGCCAGAGCGAATGTTGGTCTGATTGATATAGCATATAAATTATAGACTTGGGATTAATTTCTTTGCTTGTCCCGGAAGGGGGGCAGAGATTGATGAATGAATAGAGTTCGATGGATACAATCGCCCCATAACTGGGAATTCCCCCTTTGCTGACGACATCCGAGTCACTGCATATATCCAGCTCTAAACTAGTCCCCATCACATCCTCACCGTACCCTACACCCCAAAACAAATCACCAATCACAGCACTCAGCCAACAACCCCGCCAACTCCTCCAAGTATTTCTTGTCCGTCTCATCAAACCCAGAGGGCTCCGTGCAATCGATATCGATAATCGCGACCGTCTACCACGTCCCCCGAACCCGTTAGCCAAGTCAACCTTGATCCCCACCCCCCCAAATCCAAACCAACCCACACCCAATAACAAAGGATCTCTTACCTCCCCACCCACAAGAATCGGCACCACAATCTCACTCCGACTGCTCGCGTCGCAGGCGATATGGCCCGGGAACTCGTGCACGTCCGGCACGACGACGGTGGCGCGGTCCTGCGCCGCGGTGCCGCAGACCCCCTTCCCGAAGCGGATCTCCTGGCACGCGGGGCGGCCCTGGAAGGGGCCGAGGAGGAGTTTGGGTTGCACGGTGGTCGCATCGGTGGCGGTGGTATCCTTGGACAAGGCCGGGAACTTGTCGCTGCGGATGTAGAAGCCGGCCCAGTTGACCGACGACGAAGGGGCGGGGAGGGCGGCGTAGGCGTGCCAGAGGAGGGAGGCGACGTTGGAGAAGTTGCTGTTTCTTTAGTATCTTCCTTGCGGAGGGGTGAGGGGGAGGGGAGGTGGAGGTGGAGGTACCTGACCTGTTGATAGGTTGTATGGTTAGTGAGGTCTTAATTTAATGGGGAATGGGGAGGAGGTACCCAGTTGCGCTGGCCGTAGACTAGGCCGCGGGCCTGTTCGAGGACCTGCGTGTAGACCTCGTCTTTGGAGGCGTTGGGGCCGAAGAAGGAGGAGTCGGCGTGAGGCTTCTCATTGCGGTGAGTTTATGCTTAATGCTTATGCGCAAGGCATTGTGCGTGTAGGGTAGGGGAAAGACGGGATCGAACCATGGTGAGGGTCTGGAACTGCACGACTGTTATGCTGGTGGAGTTTAAAAGTTATAGCCGATCAATTGACAGTGACAGTGACAGGGAATGTACAGCGATGACGCTGCAGAGGTGAGTGAGGGGAAAAGAAAATCCCAAGTGGGGATTTTTGGAGTGCCGAGCCTGAGGAGCCCACGCCCACTTACCGTGTTAGGCAAGTCCTTCCACGGACCCCCTCGGACGGCATGGCTTATCGCGATAACCACAGTCGTGATCTAGAACTAGAACTATAACTATCGCTTCAACTGTCTATCCAGCTGCACCCTCAACTTCAATTCACCCTCAGTTCCTCCGTCATAATGCACCTGACCTTCTCTCTCCTCGTCTCAGCAACAGCAACAGCAGCAGCAGCCCGAGAAATCATCTTCCCGCCCATTGCTGCCGTCCACAACCACCCCTCCAGCCAGTACGCCTTCCAGAATGACATCGACATCAACAAAATCGACATTGTGACCGGCAGCCAATTCTCCGGACTCACCACCTTCGCCAGCCTCCCGTACGCAAACTGCTTCGTCGAAGATGAGTCATTAACATACGACATCGCCTTCCTGGGCGCACCGTTCGACACTGTTCGTCTCCCTACCCCGGCGCTTTCACCATTCCCCACCAGCATCACTGATCCATAAAACTAGGCAGTAACAGGCCGCCCCGGCGCCCGCTACGGTCCCCAGGGCATCCGGCTGGGCTCACGCCGCCTGGGCGGCTACGACATCTACACGGGGGAGAACGTGTTCGCCAGCTGGGCGAAACTGGTGGACTGCGGGGATGCGCCGTTGACGTGGTTGGACAATACGGTGGCGCTGAAGCAGTTGGATCTGGCGCATAAGGTTCTCCTTCCATTGATCCCCTCAAAGCAACAAAGATGAAAGTGAACTGATCAAATGATGTGGTAGGTCGTCTCCTCACGCGGCACCAACACAACGACCAAAGGCCAAGTGCCGCGCATCATCACGCTGGGCGGGGACCATACCACGACGCTGTCGGCGCTGCGGTCAACGTACGAGAAGTGGGGGCCGGTGTCGGTGATCCATTTCGATAGTCATATCGGTATGCCTATCCTAAATCGCCAATGATAAAGTAAAGCACATAGAAAAATGGAGAAAGCTAACATCAAAGTACGGGATCTAGATACATGGGACCCAGAAGCACTAGGTACATCCCTCCTCCCCTTTCCTCCTTGCCTTTGTCAACACAGCCCAGCAAAACTAACTCCAATAAACCCAGGTGGAGGAATCTCTCACTACGCGTTCGTACCCGTGCCCCTTCCCCAACACATCCCACCCCCTAACCGAAACCTAGAGGCGTCAACCACGGGACCTTCCTCCATCTCGCGCACGAAGAGGTAATCCCCCCTTCCCCCCCTCCCCCCCATCACTCTCTTTTCCTCTCACTCAAAAACCAACTAACAAAAACAAGGGCCTAATCCGCAACACCTCCATCCACGTTGGCATCCGCGCCCCCGTCACCCGCCCGCGCGGCGCCGACCTCCGCAACGACCTTCGCTGCGGCTTCGAGATGATCAAGGCGCGCGACCTCGACCGCCTGGGCGTGAGCGGGGTGATCGAGCAGATCAAGGCCCGCGTTGGGGACAGCCGCGTGTACATCTCCGTCGACATCGACGTGCTGGATCCGGCGTTTGCGCCTGGTATGTGCCGCCCCCTACTCTTCCTTCCACTTGTGTTCCGTCCAGTAAAGCAAGAGCAGGAACTTACCCCTAGAGAAAAAGAAGGGTAAAATAGAAAACCCGGTTAAAGTCTAATACTAATTTCTCTCGGGATTGACAGCGACCGGCACCTCCGAACCAGGCGGCTTCTCGACCCGCGAGCTCCTCTCCATCCTGGACGGGCTGCGCGGGTTGCCCGTCATCGGCGCGGATGTGGTGGAGGTGGCGCCCATCTATGACTCGGCGGGCGAGACGACGACGCTGGCGGCGGCGGAGGTGGCGCGGGCGGTGCTGGCGCTGATGATTGCGGTGCCGGTTGAGGGGCGGGCACCTGTTGAAATCGGTGTTTAAGCGCTTCCGTCACGGTATAGATAGGGCCAGGGAAGACGTGATGGTCGCTTATATGAAGAGAAGAAGAAACACAAGCTTGCGCCGGGGCAAAAGGCATATAGGTGGAGTATAATATACGGAGTGTGGAGTAGAGCAGTGCATGACATATCTCCGGTGTCCATATTCTGGAGGAATCCGAAGAACTACCCAACGGTTTGAGCAGAGGATCCATACTTTTCTGCGATCCATCATGTCAGCTACAGTTTCATACACATACTACACAATACACGGCAGACTCGAACCACCCATAACTACAACAACACAATCAACCCACAGAGAGAGAGTATAGAAAGAACTCAAGAAAAGAATCTATTATCTACCCCTCCCCAACCCCAAACCCCCAATTCAGCTCCTTTCCAAATCCCCAGACCCCAGGACCGAAGACAATAAATACATCCAGAATCCAAAATCCCAAAAGTCCAACTCGCTAACCAAAAACGCCATCCTTTTCTTTCTCTTCTCCCTGCCCAATGCCCCAATCCCCACTCCACTCCCCAACCCCAACCCCAACCCCAGCCCTCACCCTCACCCTCGTTGCAAACAGGGCAGGGTCATCACCACGAAAAACTCTCCTCATACAAATCCACCCTCAACCCAGCCCCAGCCACAGCCCCATCACCACTACCCCCAACCCCAGCACGACCCTGACACTCCCTCACCGTCCGCCTCACATCATCCCCCATCGCCCCGGGCCCACAGATACTGACCGCCATGGCACCCACCTGGCGCGCCATCTCCCCCCGCAAGATCTCGTCGAAGCAGGGTTTACCCGTGTGGATGGCGACGGGCACCGAGGACGGGGCCACGCTCGCCCAGGGGGAGCACTCGACCAAGAAGTCCTCGGGGCTGCTGGTGTCGGAGCGCGTGGGGCTGGCCTCGCTGCTGCTACTGGTCGTGCTGCCGATGCTACTCGCCGAGGCGGCGGTTTTGCTCACGTAGATTTGGATGTCCAGGGAGAACTCGGGGAACTGGAAGTAGGATTCGCGTTTGCGGAGGGTGGCCATTTGTAGGGCGGGGTGGTTGAGGAGGGAGGTCATCCAGGGTTGGATCCAGGAGAGGTGGTCTTTTGACTTGTTAGTGGAGGGGGGGTTTTGAATGGAAAGTGGAGGGTGGAGGGCAAGGCAACCCACCTAAACTCCTCACTACCCAGACCAAGGTCACGCGGCGGACCGCCTGGGTCTGCGAGGTGATGTTGGTCACGAATTCATGGAGATACGACATCGGGTGGGTGATGCCGATGCCGCCGGCGATTAGGAGAACGGTGCCGTAGGAGGCCAGGGAGTGGAGGCCGCCTTTATACACAGTCAGTATGGATCACGCAGATGACACGGCTAGGATGAGAAGGTGAATGTACCGAACGGCCCCTCCGCCAGCGCGGTCGCTTCGAAGCTCCCGTCGCAGGACTTGTGCACCTTCGACAGCAGCTTCCCCGTGAACCCGTCGCGGCGCTTGATCAGGAACGACATGGTCGTCTGCTGCGACCCCCCGAGTAGCCGGTTGATCGAGTCGTTGGAGCTCCGCTTCTCGGTCGGCAGAATGCTGCGGTCCGAGGAGGTCCAGGCCACGGAGAACGGGTGCGAGGTCCACAGCCCCAGCGACGGCAGATACAGATACATGTACTGCCCCGCCTTGAAGGTCCAGGGGCGGGCGAGCGCGACGTCCACGCGCGCGACGTCGCCCGGCAGAAGCTCCACGGTGGCCGTCGTGCGTTGCTTGCCGACGTTGCGCCACAGGATGATGCCCAGGCGGGTGGCTCGCTACACACAGCAGTGTTAGCTGGAATAGTTCTTGGGGGGGGGGACACTTGAAGCAGTTTAGTACAAAGAGGGTGGCTTACATCAAATCCCCAGAGAATCAGCGTAACTAACAGCGCCGTCTGCTGCGACATGCCACGCAGATGGTACCACAGTCCCACCATGGATGCAATGGCCAGCAGGATATGCAAATGCAGGAACGCTTCGTAGAAGGCATGTCGGAGAGGCGAGATAGACTGTACCAGAATAGCGGCGAACGCGATGAAAGCCTTGCAGATGTCAGTGATCTTCTCCTCACAACCATAAAGCGAATCCTACTTACCGTCATACCATAGACGAAGAACGGTGTGTGCCAGACAACCTGTGTCACAGCAGACAAACTACCCACTATTGAGTACTAGTCAGCGTATGATCTACCTCCTTATAAAAAGACAGAGACAGGACTTACACTCCTTCTGTCGAGGGATAATCGCCAAGACGACATGCACAATCGAGGCCGCAACAACCAAGCGCCCGGCCCAGCGATGAATCAGATTGAAAGTATCAAACTTGATCCCCAGCAGCGGGATCAGCGGGTTGTTGCGACCCGCCGCGAGGATCAACCCGGGCAGATTCAACACCGCCAGCGTGCCACTCGTATACTGAAGCTGGTACATCACCTCCTCCCACTCGGCCCACCAGTCCACCGTCGCGAAGAAGAACCCTACGTTCAGCGCAATATATACGGTCAAAAGAATCGCCTCCAGTCGCAGTGGGATGATCCCCATGTGGCAGCGCCCCACCCGGAACTCGCGACTATGCCGCGTCGACAGCAGCGGCGCATAGAAGACATGTTTGTTGAGCGCGGCGGACAGCGCATTGCTCCGCGCATATCGGTCCTGATCGTCGTCTTCGCTCTCGAGTATCCGACGTAACCGGCGTCGGTGTTGTAACTGTGTGTACAGGTTGCTGACGAAGAGCACGAACACTCCACCGGCGAAAATGAAGATCGGAGTCGCCAAGGAGACTTTCATGGGGGGATGAACGTTTCGAAGCCGCGGTTGGTCCGGGTCATGGTAGTCTACCCCCATTCTGCTGTAGCTGTGAAGGTCGCCGTGTTGAAAGATTGGAAATGTCCTTAAATGTGCGTGGGTGGGTGGGTGGGTGGGTTGTGTGTGCTGGAGAGGGGGAGCAGAGATTGGAGAGCGTATGCGCACTTTCGCCAGGAAACAAGCGAAAGGCCTCAGAAATTAAAGACCAGTGCTCAAACCGGGAAAGCGCCGGTAGCCCCTTCTACATATACCAGCACTGGCAGTTGTGATTCTAGATCCATGCCCATCATGACGTGCAAGCGGCTGCATAGGGCACACCTCTTCATAACTATGCCGTCATCCATCGCTCTTTGCGCCTGGGGTGAGGGCCATTGTATGTGCGATGATACCGTAGAAAGCGAGCAGCAAAGCAGACTCGGACGGCCGTCTCGAGACTCGGCGCTTTCATGCAACGGAAATGCATCGCAGCAGAGTCCAGCTGCGCAGAAAAGGCAGTGCAACCTCAGAGGCCAGTGTGGGGGTTTACTTGACTTTCCGTGGAATGTGTGCCTCCCTCCCCTCCCCTTGATTCGTCGGGGGGAAAGTTCAAGGACTGCTGGACCTGGTATAGTCGACAGGTACGCACACCCGGCAGATTGCCCGGTTAACCTTAACCTGCTTAGCCCGCCCGGCAAGACTTGGTTGGGCCTGCAAGCATTTTGGCATCCGTCAAAAGTCTGTGGATGAAACAGAAGCGTGTGTTTGCGGGGCGATGGAACGGCAGCGCCGAAAACGGAAGGGAAATATGCGTCTCTGCTGCATCCGCCCTACCGGACCCTTCCCAAATCCCCAGTGCAGCTCTGCCTCTGCTGTTGCTTCAATTCTGGTTTTTTGCTGCTGGGATCCAAGCGGCGTGGTGGTTATGACGTTCAAGCTGACGATAATTGACGACAAGGACCTGTCATAACATGTCCATCTGAGCTGAAGGGGGTGTCTTTTTTGTCCACTACACAAATGTATCTCTTCCAACACACCAGTCCGTCAGTCAACCCCCAATCTGTCGCGAGGTTAGGCACACGATCTATGGTAGTCAACGCCCATAGTAGAGTTTGAGACAGCTAAACTTACCAGCCCGTGGTGCTGGTTGCAGCCCCTTGCGGGTGGATCGAGTTCTGCCCGCATCCCTAGGGTAGGAGTACACGGGCTGGGAGCAAACCAATTGACGTCATGCAATCGAAGCACAGGTGATAGCTCAATGACATAACGAACAGCTGCGCCGATCTTCCTTCGATCAGGTAACATTATTGCATCGTGCGCGCTGTCTTTGGCGTGGAAGCCATTGTAACGTCGGCGACATTGTTCCCTCCCGCTTAGGGCAACCGCCGCAGAAACCTCATGTCATCATGACTAGAAAGAGACTTAAAAGAGGCAATGTCTAGACCTCAATCGACCAATCCAGCTTCGATGCCACGGTGATTTTTCGTCCTCATAGGCAAGATGGAGTGTCGCTAAACTTGCTATCCTGAGCAGTCGGCTTGTGCTGTCATCGCTGCGCCTACCGATGACAAGTGCGGTCAAGCAAAGCAAAGCATTGCGACAAGGAAAGGCAGCAAGGATGCGGAGAAGATATCCAGACCAGAATTTGGGTACGATGAGATGTTGGTACAGCACACTCGAACATCTCCATTGAATGTAGTTTGCCACTTTCCGGAGAATTATTTGACTTTGCCGTTCAATCTCGACCGGAGGATTTGACACGGCGACCATGAGCCTGATGTCTCACCACGAAAGGCAGTACCTGAGCCTCCATAAAACCTGCTCACATTGTATTCCCTGCATTGGTTTGTTACAAAGTCAAATAAGAGATCCCCATCCGTTTGTCCCGCATGCTCCGACAATCAGGAAAATTGCCAGGGGAAAAGCGGAGAAGCATGAAGCCACCCCAAATTCGACATCAACCCAACACCATTATGCGCTGTTGTACAGATAATCTATGAAATGACGACAATCTAAGAAAACGTGGCCGCGGCCAAGACCTTCCAAGGCGCGTTAGGGCACTCGATATGTCGTAAGAATGAAGTGAGTATTAAGCATTATGGAGAAACAAGAACTGCGATGAATTGTGTGCCTTGATCGGTTGGATCCCAAAGAACGGGGAGGTATTAATTGCGTAACCCGAAAAAACAGACTCCCGGCACTGAAGTACCCCCCATTTCATTTATCCCTGCAGGTTAGCGATGTGCGCCATTACAATTGAACAAGAAAGCATGTACATGTGGTATTGAGTCGACTGAAGGGCCAATCGTGGCCAATTCGTGAGATGTAACGTAACGGTGATATTGTAGAAAGCTTGTATTCGGAATTCAAACTCCCATAATTCGGTGACTGCCTGGCTCCAGGCTGCAGCCACTGCCATCATGGATGGAGAACAAGCTTCGGGGAGGAGATCTAGCACACTCCCGGGGCACGTGGCAGTCAAGCCCGTCTGGAGCGCCTTTTCTTTTTCTTCTCCTTGACCTGCTTGGCTCTGCTCTTCTCTTCCCGAACGGATGAATAGTCCGCCACGTCGACACCGGCGCTATGGCATAAGGATGTGCATTCATTTTCAATCACCTTCACAATCTGAGGAGTGAAGCCGTAGAATGCGGGATTGTAGGCATTCCGTGCCCAGTACATCAGTTCAGAAGCGACTCGGCCCAGGTTGGGAATGGACTGAGGCGAAACCGCCTGCTTCGGGGAAAAGCGGGGTTTACTGTCAGCTTCGTCATCGGAGCAGAGCGAAGATGGGGTCGAGCTTCTGGATGCGGGGGAGGAGGGGGATGATTCAGAAGAAGACAAGTAATCCGTGTCCGAAGCAAGAACATGCAATAGATGGTAAACCGAGGCAAAGCCAATCAGGGTCAAATCGACAGGATCGAGTGGAAGCTGATTGAACCATGTGATCGCTTTCTGGATGGTGAAGGATGCGGGGAGAGAGGTGTCACCCGTGGTTCGTGCCGTGAAGATTGCCGCAATCATGGCACAGCGGACGGATATGGCGATCTCATCCCGCACGGAGACCGGAAGTGACGAATCTAGGAAGTTGGAGGCTTGACTCTGCTGGCTCTTTCCTTTGTCCTTGGGCAGCGCTGCCAGGACGGCTCCGATGTTGGTAGCACGGTCATGGTCGAAGAACACCGCTTTCATGACTAGAGCGCGGGTATGAGCGGCAGATGGCTGGGGAGCAACGTCCAGAGCGATCTTGATCTTGGCTTTGAACAAGTCACGGCTCTTCTTCGCATCGGGCCCACCAGAGCTAGCCTCAAAGTATCTGAGCAGTGCTCGCTGCAAGAGGTGGCTTGACCACCAGGCGGCAAGAGCGTCGAGGGAGGACCGAATCGCAGGATCTTCCTCCACAACGTCCAGAAGGGCCTCGTCATCCTCGGCTCCCTCTTGCGTAGGGCGGTTCCATGTAAGATTCGCCGCACGTTGGACAACAGTGTCGATCATGACCTCATCACAGTCGAGCTGCAGTAGGGCAGCCAAATGACTCGGCAGGGCCTCTGGATGGTCTTTTGGCATGGCTGCGTGCATCTTGCGGGCAAGATCCCACTGATAGCCGGCCAATGATCGTGCGACATCATTGGAGATGTGGAAAGTCCATGATCCGGGAACACCGACTCGCCACAGAAGGATGCGGCAATGTAGCGCCTTGAGCATCATTCGCATTGGACTGCGAGGCAGGGTTCCTGCAGCGAAGATGGTGAGTACTAACCTGCTCTTGCTGATTTCGGGATCTCCACCAGCCAGTTGCGCATCGATGGCGATATCCCATGACTTCACGCGGCCCTTGTCGTCCTCGACGGTAACGCCGGTGATGGAAGAGTAGAGTTTCCAGCCCAGAAGACAGCGCAGCACATACTCGAAGCAGCGCGAGGTGACCACGTACCACTCATGGAAGAACCGATGACGCGGCACACCGACTTGCTGTATGCTCGTTAACCACGCTTGACGGCGGAAGTTTGATGACGATAGCGTTGCATCGGACATGAATGCAGTCTTGGATGAGCCTGGTTGACTTTTGGGCCCGGCATTGAAGAGGTATACAAAAACCACAAAGGCACTACCAACGACCAGAGTTGCGAGGATAAGGAAGTGCGAGATGGCCCTTGCGTGCCACGAGTACCAAAAGCTGCGAGCCACTGCCATCCAGTACTTGATGGTCGGATTTTGCAGGCTGTTCAACAAATTGACGGGAAGCGCCAGCAGTCCCTTGGCGGTTGAATCGCTCTCTTTGTCGCTACCCAGACCCTCAAGAACCATCAGACCAGCAAGAGCGCCAAGCATGTATTTGTTGGGGTAGTAGGAGCGGCTGCGACCTCCGCCACCCTGGGTGGACCTATTGCCGTTGCTGTTGCCGGCGCTGCTGGGATATTGCATATACGACTGGGAAAAGGCGCTGTTTTTGGCAGCTGCTTCGTCTCGGAGGCGCTGGAAGGCATCTGGTACCTTCATCAACCCCTCGGGAGGATGCAGCGTTGTAGGAGAGTGATCACTCGGCGAATCTTCAACCTGTGAGAACACACTCGGGGATGAACTTGCCCCAGACTCGGTATAGTTGCTGGGCGATGAGACAGAAGCGGTGGATGTGATCATTTGTTCCGCAGCCTTATCTGCTAGACGAAGTCGGTTCTTGAGGGCGGTGTTTTCCTCTTCAAGTCGTTTGTTGCGGATTTCCAAGTGGCGAATATACTCTGTTGCCTTCGATAGGATGGAAGCCTTGTTCAATTTGCTGGCAGGGGTGACACCTTCGCCTTCGTCATCATCGATGATGCTGCCGGCCGCATTCTTCGAGGCTCGCAGGCTGGGGACGCTGTCTCTCAGTTCGGCGATCTTTTCGTTGAGGTTGGCTCGGTACCGCTTTTCGATAACGTTGTGTGCTCGTTTCTTGGCGGGCATTTTCTTGCCCGGTGGCACGACGCCGCTCACGGTTGATCCGTCGTCGTCACTGCCTGACTTGCGTTTGCGGGTGATTCCGTCCGGGGATAATGGTGAGCCCGCTGCAGTTGACAGCGTAGATGGCATCTCGGCTCCACTCGAGTCGCCCTTGGAGTTGGTCATACTGTTGTACCCTCGATCGAAGAAGGAGTCAAACGGGAGGTTCGTGCAGTCGAGAGAGATGTCGGGGGAGAATTCGGATTTGTTGAAGAAGGCGGTGCTTGGATTACCGGTTGATGTGTTTGGTGAGGTGAAGGCCAGGTCGAACGGTGATTGGGAGAGCTCTTTGACTCCCTCTGCGAAGCCTTGATCATCCCATCTCATCCATTGTGTCCAATCTTGAGTGGCTTCGTCCGTGGTGAAGGATGGGGCAAAAGACATTGACTCGGCCTGTGAGTCTCTTGAGTTTCTCTTGTTGGTGTTAGGGGAGAAGAGCTGGAAGTCGCTCCCCATGCTGGGCATTGCCATCTTGTCCAGCGGCCAGGGCCGGGACCATGAATTGCGAGTGGTCAGTCAAAGCACGGCAATATGCAACCGCGAGCAGAGCTTCCAAGCTATTGCCTGAACTCGAGTCAGTTTCTGATACGGACAATCGACGACATGGGCGACGACGAAGGTCATGGATGTTGACACTGTTTGAGAGGGCATACCTGAGAAGGGTGTGTGGTCAGGAGCCGGCTAGGTGCGGAAAGAAGTCGCGTAAGGCGAGCAAGTTAAGCCAGCGCTAACCAACCTTAGATTGCGACCAGTGGAGTAACCCAAGGACAATCGGTGATGGTGATGATGGTATAATGAAGACAGTAGGGACAGTCGAGGGTGAAATCCAGCAACCTACTGAGTACGATAGCGGGGGGAGGGAGGGGGGAGAGGTTCGTCGGGAGGTTGCAGGAGACAGGAAGGTGCGTGAGGGTGGATGAAGATCTGACTAGCAGAAACCCCGTGAATGTCTGGACATGTGCAGGCGCGTTTCTTCTCCTTCGATCTTATCGAGCGAGCGGTTGAGAAAGGGAGGGGCGCAGCGGGTTGAGGCGCGATGAGTGGTTCGAGGAAGTTTGGTCCCGGTGGGACAAAAATTTGACCGGATCCTCAGTTGGTGCCTGGTTTTACTGATTGATAAAGGACGACGGGCGATCACTGCTGGGGAACGAGTGATTCGGGGCAACTTGAGGCGAAGTTCTAGAAAGATCAATGATATCGTGATCGAAGATAGAGAGGCAAATTTGAAGGACACATGACTGTTGAAGTTGACTATGCAACGACAAGCAGAGAGCAGTGGAATGGATGTTGGATGGATGGCTGGATGAATGAATGCATGGATGGCATTGTATGGAAAGAACTGAGTGAGAGAATCTCGGCCAATGTTCGGTGGAGGCCAGTCCTCCCCCAAGTCGTATGATCGCGGGCCACGCCTCTTCCGGCAAGCCGACCCCAAAGGGGCAATTCTTCTCAATACAGTACGTAATTTTGCTCCGCTGACAGAGCGGACGGGGCGCAATTGGTTAAATTACCGTCACAGCGGTGTATTCAAAACTCGTCGCCTCCCTGTCTCGGCTATATTTGGCAAGCCCTCCCAACGATCCATGAATGATCATTGATCATTGATCCATCATCCATCATCATGGATCGCTCAATCCACAAGGAATAACTTGAGAACTTTCTGTACAGCTGCTTTTTGCAAGTCGCTGAACATCCTATCTACTCGTTACAGGCACATTTGAATCTCTCATAACCGAACAAGGCCCATCTCAATCCGAGAAATCCTTACAACCCCATACCTCCGCGCAACCACGACCCGACCGGTTCAACCCCATCAGCCCAGGCAACCGCGCTAATACCGGTCCGATGCTCAGCCCACCTTTTTTTCATAACGATCAATTCAAACTTCTCCAAGGGATAAGATTCGGAAAAGGGGTCCTATTCTGGCAACTTCTTGCTGAGAGACTTGTCTTCGTTTTCTAGTAGTTGCATCGTATCAGCTGCCTGCGACCTGAGTTTAGGGGATTGACTCAACCCCACCATCGAGGAGCGGGGCTGACACAGCCTGGGACAGCCTGGGACAGTCATGACATGACATAAATATATACATCTAGCAGTAGGGATGGGCTCGACTGGGTGTGAATCATCACGCTTTAAGGTTCAATAACCTTGCTGTAGTTGCAGGAACGATACGACGGGCGATGGACTCCGCTCGCGTGGAGCTAGTTTTCCGAAAATTGGGGTTTATGCTCTACAGTTTGAGGAGTTATTCTCGGAGAGAACTGTTTACGCCTACCAATACTGCACCCAAGTACGCATCGATCCTAGGAGCCATTCGACACTGTAATTGCTGTCATTGCCATCGTAGAAGAAAGCCTCATTGTCGAAGACATTGCGTAGACACAGTCAATGGCACCCATCGGGCTAAAGTGGAGAGGAAACCCATCGCTGCAGGTCCTGGGCCCTGAGACAGTTTATTTAAATTGCAAGAAGCGCACGTATGGGGTTCAACGAGAGGCACTGTAACCAGAAGGTATCCACAGACTTGTCCAGGCTGGGTCAACTTTTACCCTGCCTGGCCAGACTGACACCTTCACCTTCACCGCCAGTAGTTGTCTACAATTAAACACTAACGCGAGCAAAAGACCAAATATGAGCGCCATCTGTATTTTTACTCTAGGAAATATGTACACCTGTTCTAATAATCTACTTACAGTGCCTTCTCCACCTCTGCCATCTTACCCATCACCTCCTGCACCGTGACCTTAGCCCCCTGGGCAGGCTCCTCGTACGGGGTGCGAGGCTTCAGTTTCTCCTCCGCACCCTCAATCCCCGCCGCCACCGCCGAGAAGATGGCCGTGGCGTATTTGGTGGACGCGATGCCGCTCTTGCACGGCGACTCCGCCAACGCCGCCTGCCGCTGCAACGCCAACGCCTCGTCGACCTTGCCCTCTACATACAGCTTGTAGACCCGCGCGGCGGTCTTGGGGAAGACATTCGCGAAGGCCGCAATGCACCCGGCCGATCCGACGGCCAGCCCCGCCAGCAGGAAGTCCGACTGTCCGCCGAACACGGCGAACTGGTCCTTGGAGAACGTGGCCGCCAGGCGGGTGATCTTGCCCACGGACGCGCAGGTCAGTTTCACGCCGACCACGTTCGAGACGCCCGAGGGGCTCTGCGCCTCGGACTCGCGGACAATCGCCGTGATGGTCTCCGAGTCGAGATCCACCCCGTTGCACACGCCGGGGAAGTTGTACACCACGACGGGGAGGGCGGATTGGCGGGCGACGTCGGCGAAGAACCGCTTCACGACGGCGGGGGTGGTGGCTTTCCCGAAGTATGCCGGGGGCAGAACTAGCAGGTAGTTGGCACCCGCGGCAGCCGCGTCGGAGGCGAGCTCGAGGACTTGTTTGGTAGAGTGGGCGCCCACGCCGGCCATGAGGGGGAAATCAGGCCCCACGGCTTCGCGGGCGGCGGCAATGCATTGGTATCGTTCTTCGCGGGTAAGGAGGAAAGCTTCGGAGTTGGTGCCAAGGATGACGAGCCCGGCCAGACCTGTCGTCGAAAGATATTTATAGTATTGCTTCTGGGCAACCAAATCAATGGTGTCGGTCGCGTGATCGAAGAAGGTCACGGCTGGACACCAGACACCTGCTGGGGGGATATGGGGCTGGGCGGTCACGTTGGGGTTGGAAGTGGAGCCCATGTTGACGTCAATCGGCTCAATTCTGTGGAAATCGGGGATGACTCAAAAGACGGTGATGATGATGAAACTTTGCTGATTCTCATTTTGGAGGAATTAGAGCGCATTAGTCGCTTAAGTAGTGATGGTGAATGCGGGGGAAGGAAAAGAATCCGGTCGGGATCCGATACCGAGTCCTTATCAGCGGGGAGAGATTCCGAGTAGGGAGAGAGAGGATAGGGAAGGAAATGAGGAGAGATAAGTGAAGAGAGAGGGGAGAAGGGAGGAGATTAGATAGACTAGCTCAACAGGAAAATCCGGGGTAAGGCAGGATAAGAATGAAGCATCGTAGTACCTCTCCCTCACTTCTAGAGAAACCCCTTGAATCTTCTTTCCCCTTCAGTTTCCCCAACCCTTTCTCCCTTTTCTTGTTTCTTTTTTATTTTGATTTTTTCCCTCTCAAATTTTCCTCCCCGTGACCTCGATCCATGGCACTTGTTTTGAGCGTCACGTCACTTGACCCATGAGTCAGATCGACAATTCGATGGTCTCATCGCCGAATCAGGGCCGGTTATTGGCTCACACCGCCGTTGGTCACGACGAGCTTCCTCTTGGGGATTCTCATTACGTCTTCAAAAAGACTGCAGGCTGCAAGGCCAACAGCCACTGGCCTAGGCATGAATAATGAGAATTCGAATATGCCTCATACTCCCCTTCTCCTTTATTCCATTTACGAGTTTGCATTCCACTTCTTCCACTTGTTCCACTAATACCCCGCATAAAAGGGGGTTCAATGCGTTTCCACCTCTTGTTCCCCAGATATTTAACTGCCAATGCCCCGTGGTTTTGGTGGATGTGATGAGAACAAACACAGAACGTGTAATATCGCAACCATGCAAGCACCGCAAGAGATTTACGATTTGGTAAGTGATGCAGTGCGCCTCAGCTGAGTCGCCTGAATGCTAAGTGCAATGCCTCATAGATCGTGTCCTTTGTGGATGACGTCGATAGCCGGCCGTGGGCCGCTTCGACACGACAACACAAGATTCAATCCGACGAGCTTCGACACCAGCTCGCGACGTTACGCCTAGTCAACCGCGCCTTCTGTCGCAGCGCCTCACCGCGACTGTTTCGACACCTTCGCGTCGTCGCCAAATCCGCTCAGTCCAAGACCTCCGAATCGCCGCTTGTAGGCCTCGTAGAGCTCTCCCACGGCCCCTATGCCGACTACGTGCGCCAACTAGACATCGGGCTCGAGGACACCGAGCACTCGGAAGAGTTCTGCTCCATGTTCCTGGAAGATTTGGCGGGAGTGCTGCCCTCCTGCCTGTGCCGGCTGTCCAAACTCAAGGCGCTTGATTTCCAGGGGGTTCCCGGCTCGTTACCCGAGGCTACCACCCGAGACTTTGTCAACACCGTCATCAGCAGCCTCCGCTACGTGCCACTGCCGAACTTAACCGAGCTGGACATTGCCTTCCCCATCACCCACGATTTCGCCCAATTCTTCCCCCACAAGACCCTCAGCTCCAGCGCCCTGCGCATCTCCACCGAACACGTCCTGCAGCGCCTGCACCACCTGGGCCTCCGCATCACCGCCTCCCCCACCGAGCACGCGCAGCCACAGCAACATGAATCCCCCTCTCCGCCGCCCGCCGCGACCGTACACACCCCCGGCTTGTCGAACCAGGCCCACGCACACTGGCTCTACAAGATGATCCGTCACGCCAGCAATCTGAAGTCGCTCGCCATCGCCAGCGCAGACACCCTGGATCTGGACGGGGCTGCTTTCAGCCGCTCCCTCCGCCTGGAATCCATCCAGCTGCGCCGGGTGTCCATCTCGTCCTACAAGCTGCTGTCGCTGGTCGAACAATGCAAGGACTCCATCCGACACATCGAGCTCTACCAGGTCAAGCTGAACTCGGGCGAGTGGCAACATGTGCTGTCGCGCATGACGCATCTGCCCGGGCTGGTGAGCTTCGTGATCAAGTCGTGCGGATACTCGTCGACGGGCGCGGGGGCCACCTACTACAACCCGCATGGCTCGTCGGGGGCGGTGATGAAGACGACGAACTCGACGGAGATCCTGGCGCTGGGCGCCTTGCACCGTCGGGTCCACGAGAACCGGGTGAACTGCGGGCTGGCCCCGTTCCGCGAGACGGAATTCCGCCGGAGAGTAAAGAGTATTTGAGGTTTCCACTGTATGTTCTGGCAATATCACTTTAGCATCAGCATCTGTGGCATAGTTTATGCATCTGCATTAATGGGTAAGGGTATGACAAAAAGAATGATTAGCACAGATAAAATAGTTGAGATAATTGAAATGTGACTGGGTTTACATATCACCACTGCCTCTGCTCATTTGGATACTTAGGTATTCCCTGTTCTTGATTATGTGGAGTGAGGATCAATCTAGATCCGACGGCGGGTGTTTGGCCACAGCACAAGTGTGCAAGCGCAAACAAAGCACCTGGTCGGCAGTATCTTCTTATTCATACAATGTAGAACCCTCCGCGTACCTCCCAAACACCGCACACTTTCCGAGCAGGATGTTTCTCACTTTGTACTACTTCTTCCATTCAACGCGTTTCTCTTGGTGTTCAACGATGCACTCAAAAACTTTTTGAGACCACCTAAAATGCAAAGCAAGTACCATTCTATAGAGTATTACGAATAACTATTTTCAAAATATAGAACTGTCGTTTTCCTAAGCAATGTCTCAAGCTTTGATCAAAACATCTTTCCCCCAACCCGTCTGTAAATAAGTAAATTAAGGCCCCTTCTAAGCGAAAATATTAGTATAGCCCCTCTGGAGATCTTCCTAAATACTCTTCTAAGTCCGCAAGACAGCGAGGCCTCTTAAACTATCTTTATAAAGCCTCATATCTTAGACCGTGGACCTGGTTATAATTTCGAACCAACTATAGTAAATAGGATAGGAGTTAGATACTTCTTATCTTATCTCTAGAATAATATATAGTCTATCGAAGATCAGCTATTCTTATTGAATTCTATGTTTCTTCCATATTGAAATAGGCAGTTCTGTCGATTGGGTAACATTGTTCATATACGTGCTTTGTATACGAGCTTGGAGGAAAACACGCATGCTTTGGGAAGGTGCGTGGTATTCGCGAGGTGCGTGGCCTGCCTCTACTCAGCATCCCCGCCAGCCCAGCATGCAGCCAGCCACCTCCCGCCACCATTGGCAGTTGTCATCCTGCACATCATGCAGATCATGCGGGAGGAGAATTGGGTAGGTAACATGGAAAGTGGTACCTTACCCCGCGGACCTAATCCCTGGACGTAGCTTCCCCTTCATACTTTAGTATACCTGTGCTACCCAACAACCTTCGTCCTCTCTTTCCACCACTTCCCCTAGTCCCTAGTCTTCAAATCTCCCAAGCCTCACGAAAAACATCCCACCAGCCCCCAAAAAGACCTCAACCAAGCCAAAAACCACCCGAAGCCCCACCCCCAAAATGACCAAAACACCCAAAGAAAACCCAACAAGCAGCCCCCTCCCAAACTACACCCGCCACATAACCACCCACTCCGACCAAAAACTCGCAACAATCCACTCCACCACCCAGGGAGCCTGGACCCCCGTCGAAGACGACACCTTCGCCTTCAGCGTCGCCTACACCACCTCGCGCTTTCCGGTGACCCTCACCGCCGACGCCGACCTCCACGCCCACGAAGACCTCCTGGCGAGCAACACCTTGGGACTGGTCAACCCCGGCGGCACCGTGTGCCGGGTAGTGGACTTCGCTCCCGGCAAGCCGCCGCTGATGCACCGCACGCGCAGCCTGGATTACGGGATCGTGCTGGAGGGGGAGATCGAGATGGTGCTGGACTCCGGGGAGACAAGGCACCTCAGGCGGGGCGATATTGCCGTGCAGCGGGGCACGATGCATGCGTGGCGGAATCCCCAGCCGGCGGGGTGGACGAGGATGGTCTTTGTGCTGCAGGATTGTGAGGCGGTCGAGGTGGGCGGGGTGGTGCTGGGGGAGGATTTAGGGGGGCGCGGGGGAGATTTTGCCTTCGGGGGGGAAGAAGGATTGTTGATGGGGATGGGGCTGAGAGGTAGGGGTTGAGGATGGAGGTTGGAGGAAGCGAAAGAGGGGAGGAGGATCCTTATTGTTTATGTCTGGTGGATGGTCGCGGCCATTCTCCTAATGCGAAGTCTTTTACTATCATTACCACAATGCTACATTTCTTGCTAGTGGAGTTGATGGGTTTCCTATTCTTGTGAGCTTCTTGAACACCTTCTTGAACGCCTTCGTAAACTCGCAGAATAGCAAAGTCTCTCCAAGTATATGTGTTAGTAAGGAGGGTAGTAAAGCCATTTTTAAATACCTTTGGGAATAGGCAGTGTAACACCGCCTACCTAACGCCTGTATAGAATTGAAGTAGTAAAATAAGTTGTATCATCTTGAAGGTAGCCTCAAACACTTCATATCCATCAATCCTGTAAAAGATCGTATGTCTTTATTAATATACTAAATAAAAACACTTTATAATACGTACTTGAGACAAATTATATACTGATGCTGAAGAGGTCTAGTCGATACGTTGTTATTTGACTTGAAAGAATGCTTGGAAAGGTTCTGATGAGTACCCCGCTTACAGAAGTAGGGAAAAGGCTTTCTACTCTATTTTAATTGGGATTGTGCGCGAGAAGGTCCTCGTATCTCTAATAGGGCATCGGTAAGTGATGCAGGAAAAGCATTCAGTGAGATAAATCGTGTTTGAGGGATGGCGGTTATTATTAGCTATAGATTCGCATTCTAGCAATGGGTCGGCACATGGCTTCTTTCTCATGCTTGAAACGTGCTCAGCCCTATACCATCATGACATACAAGCGGATATCTTCCCCGAGTCCCCAGCCACAATGCTGCTCATCATGACATATATGGTCTGACCCTTCGCGTGGCAAGAGACCCTCTTCCTCTGTTTTCTGATCTCCAACTCTCTCTCATTACATTGTTCCCACTCACATCAGCAATTTCATCCTCTATCATCTACCACCCAGTCATCCTTCTCACCAGAACCACTAACACCCAAGACAAACTAAGCAAGCACCTAAAAAGATGCCTGTTCCATCTGTGGCCACCTTGGCCTCCAGAACCTCAACCCTCCCGTCCTCACCCCATGTGCATCGTTTCAGCGTGCGGAGAAAACACCCTGCGAATCATGATCTCGTCTCCTCGCGCCTGATACCACTCGTCCAACTCAAGGAACCTGCCGATGACTACCCCAGCCAGCCCATAGATATCTTCTCTGATCTAGTCAAGCATCACACCAAGGAAGAGCTGGACATCATGAGGCAAAAGGCCACAGAGGAGATAGCAGCTGTCCAGAGGCACGAACTCCCAGCAGCAGCAGCAGCAGTGACCATCACAAGAAAAAGCTCCCTTTTCTCGAACCTCGAACATTACGAGGATGAAGACCTCGACCATGACATCAATGACCTCATCCATACGGGTCGGACTTTCTCTCGTTTCAGCGATGACCTGTCCGAGGACCAGTCCTGGTCAGATGAAGAGGACTCGACAAGATCCCAAGAAGCCATGCTGCCGTCGACCACGACAACGCCTCGCTCATCACGCATGAGTTCCACTGTGAAGACGGATCTTAATAGTTTGACGCATGAGGCGCTTGAAGATTATCAATATCAGTGCGATGAAGATGCAAAGTCGGCCTATCGAGCCCACAGAACCCAGTCATACGTGCACACAATGTCCTCCTCGGCGTGGTGGGCCACTCCCTCTCCCTCGGATAGCTCTCTCACCGACAAGACGGACAACCATCGTATGACGGAGGAGATGCTTCAAAACCATTATCAACTGGGACTGGCGGCGGAGAGAAGGGCAATTAGTCGAGCCATCAAAAGCCGGTCACGCCTCCACACAACATCCTCACCCACGCCGTCCATCAGTCGCGCTCCGTCGACCAGCTTTCTCGCCGAGGAGGACTTCCTTCTCTACCTCCGGAGAATAGATGCCAAGCAGGACCGAATGATGATGGTCGCGCAGTGCAACTGGCCCATCTGCAAGCATCAGCAGACCCTGCTCAGCATTCAGCAGGCCCTGCTCCAAGAGCAGCAGACTCTTATTGACGACCAGAAGGCCATGATCGCCGACCAGCAGGCCTTACTGGCGGACCAGAAGACCCTACTCGCCGATCAGCAGACCTTGCTCGCGGACCAGCAGACTCTGCTCAGCAACCAAGAGACCACCACAAGAAGCTTGCAGAGCCATCAGGAGTGGAGTCCGGTCATTGAATCACCCATGTTGGCACCACCGTCCTCAGCAAACAGCACTGGACCCAGCACCAGGGCTCCAACGAGAGCCCCGACACCCTCCCGCAACTGCAACAATCACCGAGCCCCCAGACATCCCCGATGTCAGCCCCTTCTCACCACTCAAGAGATTGTTATAAGTTCCCTGGCGAACCAGCAGGATTTGGATCTAGTCATCGATCCGGGCATGTTGGCCCCACCGCCCTCGGCAAACAGCACCTGCGCTCCAACCAGAGCCCCAACACCAACACTCGCCGACAACGACGACGACCAGCAAGCCCTCCCATCGTGGTCATTCAGCACACGGCTGCCTTATCGCCCCAGGGTTCGGGTTTGATTACCTTATTAGCATAGCGCTTTGCGTTCTATGTTTAGCTTAGCGAATTGACTTTTTGGAAATGAAATACCCGTGCTTTTTGCCAATGAGACTAGATATCTTTTAGTAAGATCTTATAAGATGTTCGTGATTATCTATTCGCTGCTGTGTGGTCATTCGACTTGTTAGAATATAGCCGGTTCAAAATAACACGGTAGGTTCGATGGTTAAGCACTGCTAGTGACGGCCACTGTATGGAAGATAGCCATGCTCGTAAACGTAAATGTTCGGATCGATGACTACTAGGTACCTCAGACTTAGCAGTAGGGCAGACATATCCAATCCCGCTTGAGCATAGTGCCAAGGGTGCGGGCCACCAATGCCCATGCCTTTCGTTTACAGCGCTTGAGAAGTGGTCTACTATACAGCTTCGGGGCCGATCATGATCTTGTCAATCTCGAGCGTCGGAAAGGGGGGAAATGTCCATCAGCTGGAGAAAGCCTCGGATATACCAGACGGAGGTGTTCAATGGTGCTAGGCCAGTCCGACAAGGTGAGACCGAATTCTAGGAACGTTAGTTCTCTAACTTGCAGCCAAGTAAGTCATGGAGGCCAGGGTGGGGGTTCATACCATTTCGGAGTTGATCCCGCAACTATCGGTCTTTTCGCTCATCGTCCGACAGGCTGGCATGGACTATCTGTGTTCCGGAAAGCTGCGACAACAATTTGGTGACTGTCGCTGGGGGCGATCTTGCAGTGGCCACGACACGTTGACTCTGAACTGCACCACGCAGCGGACTCGCATGTGTAATGAGTTTTACGCAGATCTGGAGAAATGATTAGGCTCCGGTTGCTGAAGCTAAAGCACTTATAGGGAGTACCTATGTGGTGATAACTGGCTACGTTGAAAGAGGTGGTGGTTACTGACCACTAGCGGCAAAACAGATTGCTGCACAATGCAGTCTCGTAGCCAAATCTGTAAAATAAGCACCGGCCTTTAAAATTATCGCTTCAGGTAATGATAATCATCCGATTCGATATCCGGGGGAAAGACGGTTTGAAGGAACAAAAAACATACAACAGCATAAGTAGGTCGGCAGTTACCAGGCAGACACGATGATGACTGGTCGGCTCGGCGCCGTATCCAGGACTCTTCAGGTCAGATTCTGGCGACTGTCAGCGCTGCGAATATCCCTTACAAAACTCTCTTAGATAGAATTATGGTTTATCATGGCAGCGAGGGCACGAGGCTATTCCCAGACGACAAGCCTTAATAATTATAATAACCATACAATCAAGGTATACAGTTTTGGACCGAACCAAGGCAGCGAATAGTAGTACTTGGGGAAATTTGGAAATGTATAAGGATCAACTTCCCTTATTCGAGTACAAGTACTATTATTATCAGACTCCTTAGGTGAATCAAGCTAGATTCGAGATAGCGCTAGCTATTCAATGCTCCCTTCTACGGATGTTTTATAGAATTTTGTCATCAGGACAATTCTTTTTCATTGAGAAAAACCATACTTCTTACAGAGGGAAACAACTTCATTTTGATCAAACTAGAGCAGATGATTTTTCTTAGTAGCAGCATTGAATCGGTTACAAAAGGCTATAAGGCTGTCGAAAAAGCCGAAAGTCGCCATAGGGGTGAGTGAAGAAAAATGATAATTTAGGGTGAGTTATATCCTATACAGCGCTCAGCACCGATCAGGTTCGTGTCTTTGCAAGTCACGGGGATGTCGATCCGAGAGAACCCAATCATCCAGGGAAATTCCTGTCTCGGAGGTTTCCCGGATCGCATGGACTGTCGCGGCTGGAACAACATACTCCCAGACGATGCGAGGAAAAATCGATCGTAGCCATATCGGCTCGTCGGGTGGCATGCCTCGCCTGCGATCCGTGGAATCGTTGCCATAATATCCACCTCGGATATTCTCGACGGTGTTTCGGGGAAGCCGGATCGATATCACATGTTGGGGGTCCGTTGCGGGCCAAGAGAACCATGACTCGTGGTCATAGTCTACTATCCCTTGCAGGGCATAAGAACGCATCTCAATCACGGCATTGACGAGTTGCGACATGGTCCACACCCAGTGATAGTGCACTTTCTCCCGCAACAGGGCATTGCATGCTCTTTCATAGATCTCGAGGTCTTGCTGCAATCGCCGCCGGTGCTCGGGGGTGCAAGTCATATCATCCAACACGGTGCAACGGATTCGTACGCGGCGCTGCTCGGCCGGCAGGTCCAGCAGCGCAGCCACCGCCCTCGAGGCTGCTTCGAAATCCCCACTGACAAAATGCCCGTCAGGAGCAATGGTAACTTCAACGGCGCGAGTCGCCCCAGTTGGATCAGCTGGTGGGGCGTCTCTGGCATCGCGAGTCGCCAGGCGGATGTCGTATTTGAGCGTGACATAAGAAGCGTGACTCACCGAGTCCGGTCGCACGATGGAAAAGTGATCCCCGGGAATCGCTTCCCCGCCGTGGAATGTCGCGAGGGCAGAAGCAGGGGTGACGATATTGTCGCTCTCGCCCGCATAGGCGGCGAAACGGATCGGGCAGGAGTGCGGAGTGAGTTCTTTGGCATAGATGACTTGATGCAGGAGTCTACTCCGGATCTCATTGATTTCCGCACTGAGCGGCCGGAGCTGCCTTTCCTGGGGGTGGTTCCCCAAGATTCGGCGACGGATCGCCAATGCCAGCTCACTGCCCGTGTTCGGGCAGGCGAAAAGAACCACGCGGCGGATGCGTTCCAGTTCCAAGCCCCTACCTTTCCCGACCATACTGGTCAAATAGCATTGCACCACCAATCCGCCCTGGCTGTGGCACACCAGCAGAAGACGATCCAAGTGTCCGGCTTCGGTTCGCAGGAATCGGCCAAAACTGGATGCAACGGTGTCTAAGGTGGGCAAACGACGTAGCGGAGACCATGGCCGGAACATTTTGGTGGCATACTGAAAACGCAGGCGCTCTGTCGGAGGTTCGAGAGTAGGATCATTCGCGAGAAGCGATTCGAAATGATCCCATACCGATGGTGACGAGTTGAATCCATGGACGAAGACCACTCCAAGCGGTTGTGCATGCCTTCCAAGGTTAGTGTTCTCACCCATTTTAGAATCGTATGAAGCCTTTTCCTCATAAGATATGGATGCATATAAAGAGAGGTAGGGGCAGTATGCAGCTGAGAGACCGGGACATTGGAAGGATATTTTCACTTAAAAGACAAGACGTGGCTTTATATCACACCCTGCACCCTGAATCCTTTGGATGAAGGATTCCGCTTGCAGCTACAGCTAGCTACTGTATGAAAGCTCTAGTTAACACCTAGACAAAGGCGTGACATCAGGTGTCTTATTTGATGCATGACTGTGAGAAACACGAGCACATGCCAGAAAATAGGGACCACAAAGACATTAAGGTGTCCAAAGGACCTGTTAAAGTCCAGAGAAAGATTGGTTGTTTATCCCTTTTATTTAATAACCTTGGTTTAACCAATACGGGGTCTATTTTCGATCTAACCATGATTTTAGGACAAAGACCACCAGGCTGTTGTTGGCTCCGAGAGCGAATGAGTTCTCGCCCTTTGTGACGTCATCGACCACCCGATAAACAACCTCTTGACCACGTATCCACCTCGTATTCATAATATTTGAGCAAGAAGACAGAGAATGCTGGGGCTGAAAGTTTCTTGAAGTCGTGATATCTCGCAGGTGCTAATCACTTGACTTGGGGGGAAGAATGGAAAGCAGTCCACACGCTCAGGAGGGAAGGCGGTGGCCGGACTCACCATGGGTGTCGGCCCCTCCAGCCTTAAGGAGCCCTCTTGCTGAGTAGACCGAATTAGGTGAACGGAGGATAAAGCGAGTTGCATGCAACTGGAAGCTAAATGTGCAAGATGCAAAGAGCCAAAAACAAAAAAAAAAAAACAATACAACGGAAGGGATTCGCTGGTGGTCACCCACCCAACTACTAACCTCCCGGCGTGTGGCTTGAGTACGGCTGAGCGGACGGGAAGCCCTATTTTCCACACCCTGTGGTCGTATGTGCTTAGATGAAAGATAAGGAAATTGATAACTGCAAAACAAATTTGGGGAGGGGAGATCAATCAAAAGTCTATAACAACATACATGCAAAATGCCAACTTCATCTCATCCCCAGATGAAGAAATCGGTCAAACACCTCCGCCTTAACATCACCTTGCACGGAGAACAAGGCGAGATTATCATTGTCATCCTCCAACACATTCTCCAATGCCTGCTTGGCCGCCGCCAACTTGACCTTGCGGAGGCGTTCATTCCCCTGAAAACCATAGACCAGCGACTGTCGATGCAGCGCCCGAGCGTACTGAAACTGTCCGTCCTTGGATTCGCAGGCTTCGAAGTGGGTGATTGTCTCGCGGAGGGCGTCACTGTGACAAGAAGAAACAAGAGATGAATTGAGTCAGATCATATGACAGGATATTCGGAGAAGCTTGGGAAATGTAGTAAGGTGGGGATACTCACTGTGCTTCTCTAAAGTTCTCTTCTTTAATGTATACATCGGCCAGCTTAAGGTGTGTTAGGGCAACCAGATTGGCTTCTTCATCGACCGTCTGGGTCCCAGACCCAACTATTTCCTCATCCTCTAGTGCTGCTAGTGCTAGGCCATAAGAATACTTCGCCTCTCGGTGCCGCGACAAGGCAAATTCCGCGTCGCCTCTGGCCAAATGAAATCTTCTCATGCTTGAGGAACGGAGCCCGCGTTAATTGCATCCCCTGTTACGGCTCGATCCGGGCAGTTGGGAAAGCTCACCTGCAAACATCCGCTTTAGACTCTGTCCTCGTTTCGATGTCGTCGGACTTTGCCGCTAAGTCGGAAAGCAGATCGACAGCCTCCTGGGCACAGCCCTGCTGGATCAGGATCCGGGCGAGATATGTGCTGAACACAATGTAGCTGGCAAGGGCCTTGGATGATCTCTCACAAAATGCACCGACTTGATCCCGCGCTCGAACAATCGCGGCGAGCGCGCGGAAGGAATTTTCTGTCTTCTGTCCCTGGTACACGCAAAGCCCATTCTCCACTATCTCTGTTGCGGTAGCGATGAGCTGCTGCCCCTCGACGGAGTCCGATGTCAGGGCATGGATGTCGTCGCCCTCTTGCAGACTGGGCTCATTTGGGTGATATTGCAGCTCGACGGGCTTCGCATCCAGCACTGTCTCTCTGGGATGGGTGCTAGGATTGACCATGTCGATGGCCAATGGCTCCAGGCCTCCAATGGCCGAGCATTGCTGCTTCCCTGTTGACGGCATTGCTCTCTGTGGCGCCGTGCAATTCATCCCCACCCAGCCGGGTCCAGATGAACCCGAAGCCTGCGAGTTCTCTAACCCACCAGCATCCACATCACCCATATCATCCATATCATCCATATCATCACGATTATCAGCCTTTTCTTTGCTCTTGGACTGCTGCTCGTCTACTACCACATCTGGCAGCCAGATGATCTCGACCTTGAATGCCCCGGTCTCCGATTCCAGCCCCATCAGCCCCGAGGTATACCCTTTCAAGAAGTCTGGCACCTTTGGATGGACCACGGCAACGCCAGGAACCTTCGTTCCTTTTCCGCGGGACGAAGCACAGCGGTGACATAAAACTGAGTAAGGCTCGATCAGCATCTGATCACAACCAGAAACACCGGGGAGCTTTATGGGCGGTCCCGCTGGGATGTATTGGCGCGTGATCGTGGCCGAGGCATTACGGTAGATCCCGGCGATCTTCGACAGCTCGACCTCGCGATCGACAGGGTCATCTTGAATGACACAGAGGCCATCGATCCAAAGATAGCGAAAACCGAGCGACGTCGCAATATCGCACGCATCGCGGTAGAGAAGTGGGAGGTCAGCCACACGGCCCCCATTGCTACAGATTCCAAATGTGGATCTGGTGAGCGTCACCGGCATGGGTTGGTGGTTGTCGTTCTGGTCGGTCCAGCTGTAGCTCAGGGCAACGTAGGAGGCGGGCTTACTTGGGGTATCAATCACCTTCCAGCCAGCGGTGTGATCGTCGATAAGCACGAGTCGTTGCGGTCGCTGGGTATCATTATCCAAGGCCGTCGCGGAAGGCAGCCCTTTCTCAGTGTGCAGGGTGGCCAGTAAATTGTGGGCCAATGCGACCAAGTCCAGATCCTCTTCGGCATTTTTCAAGACATGAGAGTTATACCTGTTCCCATATGAAGAGAGTCAGTGGATTTTAACAGGGCATTTAGGATCTCGCCAACTCACCAAGCACATAAGAGGATGAGCTTGATTAAGGGCGTATAGTGCTCCGGGCTTGTTAGGGTTGCAGAGGCAACCTCCGACAGGCGGTGGCATTGGGTGTGGATGCGCGAGAACTCGGGCCAGTAGCCAAACACAACATTTTTGAACTTCCGCTTGGAGGGCCACTGTGCAAGCAGCAGTTGCACCGCCGTGGTAAATGCATGCACCTGCTCCTGGGTACTGGTCAGATACTGTCGCAAGGTAGATTGCACCACTCGGTGCATTTGTAAGGATGAACGGCAGCTCGCGGGCGAGCAAAGTCCACTTTTCAGGGACTCGATTCGGGCCCGGTGGAAGCTCTCATCTGTGATAGGAAAGCCTCGGATAAGTGGGCAGCATCGCTGCGCCTGAAGCAGGGTCGACTCGGATGTGTCATAGGGATCAAGGTAGGAGATCACACTGCACAAGCTTTTCGCTTCAGGGGAGAGTTGATCGATATTCAGACAGGCCGTCAGCAGCGTGGTTGACGTAGAGTGGAGCCGATATTGTTTGCGTAGGCGCATCAGCCCAGGATGCCCACTCAGACTATTCATAACGTCGCCCTCGAGGTCATTATGTCGGCTGGAGTGGAATTGAGATTCGTTCTGTAGTGCTTTGCCAACAATACTCACTGCAAGCGGGTTGCCCCCAAGTAAACGCACGAGATCGAGATCCTGGACTTGTTCCCGAGGGAGGCCTGTGATGGTATGGACCAATTCGCTCCCTTCCTCTTCACTGAGTGGGCTCACCCAAAATTCCACTAGAGAATTGCCCGGAAGAAGTTCGACATCTGGGGACCGACTCGTCACGAGAATGTTTCCATGATCACAGCGTGGTATATACGCCCGTAGGGCTTCCAGATTGTCGGCATCATCGAAGATCAGCAGCCATTCCGACTTGTTCTCTTGCAACCATGACGTGAGCCTCGCATGACTTTGCAAGTGGCTGTGTATCTTGTGGCTTTCTAACAGTTCTAGAGCGTACGCGATCTCATGGAAGGACTGCGCAATACTCTGTCGATGGCTAGCCTGTACCCACATAATTGAACTGAAATGCCGGCCATGGTGGTGAACGTACTCACGGGCAATAGCCGTCTTGCCAATGCCCGGCATACCAGTCAGAATGGCTGCCCTCGGTCTGGCAAGCATCGCCAGTGGCGGTGTTGTTTCTGCTTGATCCTGGAAATATGCTCGCAGAGATCCCAGAATACCGTGCCGCCCGCAGAAATTGGGAGTTCGGTCTGGCAATCGAATCTGCGATGGTAGAGGCCGACCGGAACTTGCCACGGGCATCTCACTCGGAACACCATTATCACCGTTGTGGTTGCTGTGATCTTCATTTCTGGCATTATTGGCGGCATTGGGAGGGTCTAGATCGATATCTGTGCAATTGGGAGTCATTGTGCCTCTCTTTTCGCTAGGAGTATGACTGTATCTGACCTGGGCACATGATGTTGCCGGTGCTGCGCGATAAATATTTACTTCCTCGCCCGTTTCATCTGTGGATAGATCCGCTGGCTTTCTGATGAGGATCGCCGACTGCAATGTGTTTGTAGGTGAGGGTTCAGCGGGCTGGTGCGTGTCGCATTCAGCAGTCGATGGATAGGGCACCGCGTGTGTGATCCTTTCAGTGTTGTCAAGGGGAGGGTACACATGCATTCCCTCTGTATGAGCACCAGTATTTGCATTTTCGATGGCCAAGCGCTCCTGCATTGAGGTGACGGGGAAGACGTGCGCATTCTCCCGGGAGGAAGACATATCCCCAGCTTTGCCATCGTTCTCCCCAGCATCACCATCCCTGATCTTGGGCCGAGGCTCCCACTCATTCGCAGCGATCATGTCGAGCTTCCGACGATACCGACTCTGATGATGAAAAACACACCGCTTCTGCTCCCCCTCATCCTCGGACAGATTCTCGTCCAGATCGGCTGTCGTCCACTTTCGCACGGTGACACTTGCATCACACACGCAGCCTTCGTAGCGGGTCCCCGTGCGAGTCCGCAGGCGGAAGAACGATTTGGTCTTGACCGTGGCAGACGAGATGTGGAATAGACGCGAATGGAAGTTTATATCTTCGAACCGATCGGAGATGGCTTTGAGGCAACACAAGGCTTGCTGGCTGCATATCGTTAGTGGAGCTTGATTGGAAGAAAGTAGGAGGAACTTATGGACGAAGGTTGGCCATTGCTCGCGGTTGGCATCTTTCAAAATCGGGTCCCCGATCATAACTAGGGTTTCGAGACAGTTAAATAGGGTAGATTCCTCATCGTGATGTCTTCTGGGATGCGCCTCGATTATAGCCTGTCGCTCGTTGTTTTATCCGCATAAGTAAATTGTCAAAGTCAAGGTGCGTCGAAGGAGGCACAAGTATTTACATACATACCTTTTTGAGGATAAAAGCACCCAGGCGATAACCTATTGTGATGAGATTACAGTCGGGTGACTATACTCTCAAGGTATCTGATGATGAGCGTCACGAAAGCCTTGCCACTAGGGAAAGCAGAAAGATCATACCTTGACTCGATCCTTGCAGAGTGCAACGAGCTCATGGTACAGTTCTTTCCCAGCTTCGCAGACCAATTCCCACGACTGGACAGATTGAACTTTGATACCATGCCAGTAGATCCAGACTTCCAGTGAAGGCTTGAGTGCTGCAAAACAGTGCTGGATCCATTCCATGAAGTGTGGACATGTTTGTTCGGCCAGGGAATCTGCATCGAGTCCCGGGACCACGACGACGCTTTCACGGACACATTAGCAGAGATACCTTGAAGTTGCAACGGCCCACCGGGATTATCATCATCCATCCTGGGTAAGAAACCAAGACACTACACTGACTTACATCGTCTTCGGATGGTCGTCAGGCTCCGGAGGATAATGCCTTCGGAATCGTCCCATTCTGACCCATAGAATCAGGAAGGAGCCCTCGAGGTCTCAGGCGGGGCCAGCCATAAAAATAATTGTTGTCTCCCGAGGGAGAGAACCTGTCACAAATACAGGTACGCTTTTCTGTCGATGTTGCCTCTGGGAGGCTTACGGCTGGGTGTTGCACAAGGCACAGCAATTGTGTGGAGGAATTCAGTGTCAGCCTTCGAATGTTCGAATGACGAGGCTGTGCCTTCGACAAAGCAAAATGGCGGGCCAATCTCGCACAAGATAAACTACACTCCCCGGCAACTCATGCAGATGGTCTGCAGCAAGGGAGTTGCTGCTCGCACAACTGGTTGGTCGATACTTTATCAGGGAGGGGTATCTGAGCGCTTGCAGGATCCTCCGACGAGGCGCAGCGAACGCCACACAAGCTGTCCTATGACACATATAATAACTTCGCAGTAGGAATCAAACGCCCCAGGCCAGGTATAGAGTCACTACACAGGACAATAAAAGACGTGAATGCGGTACAACTTTATGAGACGATGGGCACAGAGACATGACGAACCTGCCAGCAGTTGAGCAGGAGCACGAATACGACGAGCCTCCCGACAACGGTGGAGCTCGATTCTTGCGATTACGAGTCCGGTCTCTGAATCGCAATTCATTACACTCGGTCGCCTACATGAGCCACTTGGCAAGCTATCTCGATCAGCCTTATCAGAAGCCTTCCCTACAATATCTTCCCGATCGAGCGGCCGTCTCATCTGCGCGGAGCGACAATGTCTTTCTCTACTCGTACTCGCTTGCCCATGCCGAACAGCCAGACCCCCGGGTATATCAAGAGGTGTCTCAATTCCAATCTGCTGGTGAAGACAAACAGGCTGAGCTCGTCTTCCTCACCGGATATCCCTCCCCGCAGTGGCTAAATGCGGTAGTGGCGCGATACGGGATCGATCATCGATTCTTACACAGGCATCTTGACTTCTTGCCGACCGGGCAGAGAGACTGGTACGCGGTCCCCGGTATACCTTCCCGATCCCAGCAGTTCATTCAGATCGTGGTGCCATGCATCGTATTTACTGGGCATGAGGGTCGGTTTGTTCCGGCGGAAGATCTCCAGCAGGCTCGCTTCGCATGTGCGGAGCTGCTGCGACAAAAATCCAAGAGCTTCTTCGGGCGGACAGGCACTCCCGCGGGTCAGACGATTGTGCGCGGGGCCAACATTCATAGTGGCGAGGCGATGGTGCTGGAGCATGCCATTACTGTCTGTGTGCGGACAGACAGCGAAGCATCGAAGAGTAAGGGACCACCACGTCTTGTGTGCGTGTGCAGTGTTGAGAAGCTGGAAGCTTACGAATAGTGTGAAACTCCCAGTCATAGTGTGGAGCGATGTAGCCAGCGATGATATCTCGAACTACATTCCCGTCCCTGACGTGAACGCTTTCCGGAACGTGGCCGGTGCTCTCGAGTGCTGCCCGGTGTTCTTCGAGAAGCATCTTGACACCCAACAACCGGGCTCGAGAAGCAAAGCCTCTGGCAGTCTAGGGAGCAGCGTGCAAGCCTTATCGGTCTTGGCCACTGACTTTGGACACACTCTTGAGTGGAGTGCCGTGCAGCAGGACCCTGTCCTCGCGCTCGAGGAGCTGTTCGCGTTCCAGTCCGTCGCGGCGATGCAGTACCTGAACATGCTGCGCAAGGACATCACGCAGGCCATGCATCGCACCCAGACCATAGACGTGGCCTCATTGAACATGGAAGATATCTCAAACTTTGAGTATACGAAGACCGTCCTGGTCCGATGGGCTGCGCACTTCCGCGCACTGGGCCAGGCGCTGGACCCTGACTGTCCCGGCAGCCCCCTCGCTCCACGACCCCATGGGATGTTCCCCTCACGAGAAAAAATGTTGGCCATAAAACGGCGCGACCTGGAATTCCTCGCCGCAGAGACTCAGGTATTAATTGAGCTGTGCGACAGTGGGAAGGCGACGATCATGGGCAACTTTTCCATCGCTGAATCCAGGCGTATGGCGGAGGAATCGCGGCTGGTCGGGCAGCTGACCAAGCTGACCAACCGGTTGACTTTCATCTTCCTGCCGATCTCATTTGTCACCTCGGTGTTCGGGATGAACTTCAAGCAATTTGGACAAGGGCCCCTGGATATCTGGATCTGGGTGGCCGTCACGGTGCCCTTACTGGTGGTGTGTATGATTCTCGTGGAGTGGCGGATCTCGGTTCGAGCTTTGGTTGAGAAGGCATGGGCCAGATTACGAAGACCTAAATCCTTAGGAGGTGGCTGAATACTAACATTCCTGGGATGTAAAGTGCTCAAAGTTTGCCAGGGTGGGGATTGGGCTTGACTTTGCTACCTTCGGGAATTGGTGCGATACAGGGCAATTCTATTAGTTGTAGATATATGCGGGCGTAGAAAGCTAGTGTTTACATGAACCCCAACTCGCATCTTCCCTCTCAAGCTTCGCAAGTCTCTGTAGAGTCATTCATCACTGCAGACCCTATCGACCGCCGTATACCAAATGACGCAAAGGAGCAATTTCATAGCCAGTGTGTGATACGGCAACATAGAGTCCTATTCCGTCCAAACGAGTCATAATTACCTATAGTATCACCGTATTAGACTCACAGAAAATAAATCACAGAAGCAGAGTTCCAGCCACCATTTCCTCTCTGTATTCTTCAACTCTCCCAAGTGCTGCGTGCATATGAACGTCACAAAGCAGAGACTTTCAACCCTCCCTGACCGTCTTCCATCAACCAAGCCCTCAGAGTCTTACGACTCCCATCTCTTCTTGGCGACCGTTGTGGTTCTCCTGGGGTTCTGGGTATCTCTGGGGTCGTGGCCTAAGACTATTCCTGATCAACAACTGTAAATATCCAGCCCTATTACAAAGCGAAACACGATACTGGCTGAGGCTAACGTGTGAGCAAACTCCGAGTCTAGATGTGTACCTTCCTCGGTCGAGTGCGCTATCCATGCCCCGAATGATGTGGATTTACTCAGAGGCGGTATGATTGTTAATCATTCGGATCGTGATTTAGTTGTTTGGACAACTGTCAATGACTCGGTGTTTATATTAACTGGGTTAGAGAAATGGCTGGCCTGGTCTTGGGAGGAACGAGATAGAATAGGTAGTCCACCGCCAAGCAAGTCCAATGTAGTAGGATACACCAATACAACGTTTATTCTAACACCATCCGCTCTGCGCGACCTTCCACTCAATAATGTCGTAATCTTCGTTGTCCCGCGCGGTTTCCGGGTAGGTAGCTTTCAGGGGCGCTTGATATGCCTCATACTAGCGCAGTTTTCGATGAGAAAGGTCCCGTACTCGTCAAACTCTCCGCTCGAGAAAGCCCAAACGTTGCCAGAGCCCAGTTTCTCCTCCGCCTGCGATTTGCCAGCTTGAATGTACTGTACATCCATCGCATCATCAGTATCAGCCTCTGTTTTCGCGTCCCGTACCTGCTAAAAAGTCTCATTGACCTCGTAAATATGATAGTCGCGGGACCAGGTGTCGATGAGGCCATGGTAAATCGGGAACCTCAAATTCATCCGATCAGCAAACCGTCGGGGCTCCTCGCCATCCCCATAGAAACGCATCCTGGCCCCAATTATGTCCTGGGGGAACTGAATGATATTTCATGTTAATGCAAGGTGGATTTCAGCGCAACGGTTTCAGTATAGGCTACTGTGCTATGGCGAACCGCTAAGAGGGTAAGTTTGGGAAATCTGGGAATGGAACACAATCAATTCGCATGGAAAATGCAGGGTCTTCGGACTCGGATTTCTAGGCCTCGTCCGAGGAAAGACACATGCTGAGCAAGCAGGCCTGTTCAAATTCTCAGACTTTCTCCTAATAAAACTCTAAAAAATTCCTAAAAATAAGTAATAAGTCGCTATAACATAGCTTGTCTAAGGAACGAATAATTTGACAAACTTTTTCAAAGGTGAAACAACGAATCATGTATGAGAGAGTCAGTCTGTCGGTCCTAGTTCGTTATATGGCAAAAGTTCGTTCAATTGGGATTTGTTATAGCGTGAGGTTACTGTACGCATACGCATCAGGCCCTAATTTCTGTAAGCGGGTTCGTGTTCTTCACTCATAAATCGACGCACAACACTCGTGGATCGATTTCCTGGAGAGATCCACTATGAGATCGACCCCCCCCCCCATCAATCCTCGCCAAACGCGAAGGTGCCTTTCATTACTTAGTCGCCCTCCTCTTCATACCTGGGCACTGGGCAGACATACAGTACATGCCTACTGCCAAAGTTGGGCCGTCGTCCAAGCACAAGCAAGGTCCCGTCCGCTTCGATATCTCTGCATACCCCAGCCAAGCGCCAACAGCCAAGCAGTGGATCACTGGCTCAGGTGGTACGGTACATAGGACCATAGGCAAATGGGGCGGTTACACGCGATTTCCATGTCTACCCTCTGTGTCCACCAGTTTCATAACTCTAACAAGTCGAAATGCAGCCACATAAATACAGCCTACACCTTAGGCAGTGGTTTCTTCTCGACATTCAATATGCAATTTACGATACATATCACCAATTCCATCCAGATCTGCTGATTGCCTCTACCAGTGGAGCGTGGAGGATTAAGAAGTTGAATAACGTTATATTCTCACTGCTTTCGAAACCACTTCGTCAACAAAGCCTCTCGTCTCCGTTCTCGCCGACCTCTATTTCACCTGAAATGCACTCATGTACCCCACCTTAGACATCTAGAAGGAAAATCGTCTAACCGACCTACTATTCTTGCAGGTCAATGACGAGCCACGTGTTGCCATCAAACACGATCAAGGAAAGACAGTTCCAGATTTGAACATTTATGATTTTTGATATCGCCAGAACCCTCAATAATCTGATCATAAGGAGATAATGCTTCTGTTCATGGACCTCTCAAGAGTGATAACATAGGATTGATCAGAGACGGCCTGGCGCAGTTTGGTCACATCGTCCCCTGCAATGCCCTGGGGTGTCGCCTTCTGCAGATAGTCTCCGAGGTTCTGGATTTGCCACGAGATTAATGAGAGAACACAGTCATCTTCCTTTTGGGCACCTAGGGAGGCCGGGGGTAAGATTAAGGAGGAAAAGATAGCTTACGTCGATAATCGTTGCGGTCTCTTTCAAGCCAGACTGCAGGCCCGGGGCATAATTTGCCATCCACGGCTCGTGAATCTTGCTGGCTATAGAGTTCACGACACCCTGTACAGTTGCGCACAGCTGATAACATACCAGACCCGTAATCAACCACCGCTCCATATGGGGCATGGAGATACAAAAGATCATCATACCTGCTTATAGTCGGCCTCGGCCTTCTTTGCAGCCTCGCCGCTAACCTGGCCCTCAATCTTCGGCATGGCTTGGATCAGTTCATAGGCTATCGTATCCACAACTCTCTCAGCTTGGTGTAACGCTGCTGCGACCGGAGTGCTTAGCATGGGCGGTCCCGAGGCACCGCTTGATCCGATCGTTATATTCAGCAACTGCTGGTGAATCTGAATGAACTGCTCGAGGTTAGTGACATGTATCGAACGACTTTGAGAAGGCAATACGTGAGTAAGCGCGGCAGCGATCTGGGACCCTTCGTCCAAAACACCATTGCTATTTGTCTTGGGCTGGCGAGACATCATCGGTGCCGAGGAGCCTCCCAGCAGGTTGAATGCTTTGATCAGAACGATCAAATCCTATATGAATGGGTTGAGGTGCCTTTGTTAGTGACACTTCTGCCCTTGCGATGTACTTTGCCCGTCCGAGAGCTTACCATGGCCTTAGCAGAGGCATTCTGCTCGTTCAATTGGTCGGCAATCTCTTTCAGCTTGATGGCTTCTGCTTGCAGGGTCGTCAGACCCGCCTCGAATCGTGCAGTTTGGGACATGGTGAACCCGAAAACGCAAGGATCTCGTGAGGATTGGTAGAGAATACGGAGAGACCTCGGTTGACAGCAATACTCCGGCTGGAGGGCCTGTCTGACTTTTTAACCCTACCCAGTTAGATTTCCTTGCTTGCTGAAAATGCATGACGTGGCCGTCATCGGCAGCAGAGCGCGGTCTCAGAACGTGGCTCCAGCCAAGTTTGCAGATGCTCTGAGAGTGATCGGTGGTGCACATGTGAAACCAAATGGAAATTCCTGGAAATGGGCAAACTCAGACATGCATGCATGTGGATCTCTTCTGGCTTGATCGATCGATCCAATCGATCTTTGGTGTCATCCTGGAAGCTTCCCAGCTACAAGGGCGAGCCGACTTCAGCAAAACTTGATATTTGGTGCATAGATACTTTGCTTACTATGAAACATCAGTGGCCCGATTCGCTCCATTATGCAGAAACAGCGACAGACGTGGCCCACGTATCCCGCTATAGCCAAGCATACTATCGCAGGGATCAGCAATCATTCAAGTATGAATTCGTGGGCCTGCGACACCGTGTCAATGTAATCACATTATGAGGTTTGCAAAACATGATCATGCTGAACGGCGTGATTAGTACCTGTCTCGGCTGACCATTGGTAAAGCACGGCGTTAAGGAGCATCTCAGTAATGCTTAACATGCTATAAGCAATTAAGTATGAACAAGACTGGTCGATGGTACACTCCAGTCCACAAGTAGATAAGAAGTGCGGGTGCATTGACCCCGCAAATTCCTATACCCAACTTGCCTCATCTTCATTTTACCGTTCGCACGCACAGAGCCATCATACCTCCTTCACACCCACTAATTACATATAACACAGCCACCATATCCATAGGAATGTGTTCGACAGTTCTCGAAGCAGCTACTCGTCTCTTCGGCGATAGCAAGGTCTCGCAAGGGATTATGCTGTCCACAACAAATAATACCGAGCTCAGTGACGGAGGATTAAGTTAGGGCTTGCGAACCCACCATCTATCAGGTCTCCCTTACCCGTCCCGAATAACACCAGTCGACTGTGGATAACGATGAAGCCGGCAAAAGAGAAATATAAAAAATGGAGCTGCGGGGAATCGAACCCCGGACCTCTCCCATGCTAAGGGAATATTATACCACTAAACCACAGCCCCATCTGATGTTTGACCTGCTTGAAAAGGCGTTATACAAGCGGTCGTCGCCGGTCAGTGACAACTGCCGTCTTTCGAACCACTGATTTGTGCCCGTTGTTGTCTATCTCGGACCTTGGAAATGTATGTAGATCAATCGTATAGTGACGTGGAAAGAGGCATGGGCTGAATGTAAGACTCTTATTTCTTTCGAGCTACGCTATGGCGAAACAGACTGAAGTGCTTCTACAAGGCATTTTGTTGAGTATCATGTACCGCGCGCCTAACCTATATAAATCCAGGGTCTAACTGTATACTTTAAAATCCTCAGGACCTACAGTACGAACAGAAATAAAGCTAAAAATCAAATAGTGACTCAACACGGATGCTAATTGACATAAATTAAACTTACTACAATGCCCCGAATATCTTAAACATTGTTTTCTTCACAGGGTGCCACAGTGTGTTCAGATGTCCGTATGGGAGACCTCTTGGCAGACCCCGAAACCCTGACGCTAAAGGCAGTAGTTCAAACCACCATCCATGGTTCTGCCTAGTGTTTGGGGATCGGCTGCCTGTTCCTGGAAAGCCACAAACTGAATTAGATCAAAAATATTCAGTACATGTTTTCGAACATCTCAGACCTGAGATTTCGCCCTCCCACATTCCTCATCCACACGCGCCGTCAGCAACAGTATCAGCAAGGATGATTGTCCACCGCCCCATAAGTAAATTCCTTATTTATCTCGGGCGTCGGTGAAGTGTGACTTTTGGCGGTTGGAGGGCGGATTAATTGGCATTTGGAACAACTTGTGCTTAGGGCATCGGACACCCGGTTGTCTTTTGATTTTCGACTTCAAGGTTCTGCATGTTCTTTTCTTCTTTCTCCTTACAGTCGCACAATCATTCCTGGGTGGACAAAAACGACTCAAGTGAAGTTGATGGCAACTTGCTGGCCTTGTAGTAAGGTACCAGTGACATGATATACATTCATATATAGATGGATAGATTCAAGCATTTTATCCGAAATAAGCCATATCTGCAAGGCTCCTCCCGGGTCGCAAATGGTCAATCGAGGTGACTGGGGCGTTCTGCTACTATATGCATAAAAATTCCACCAGTTGCCCAGCGTTTCGTCACATGAAGCCACTGGTTCCTTTGAGTTGATCAGTCGACTTCGATTTCATAGATTTCCGCTCAGCCTGGGAATCCTCCAATTCCTGGCGCTTCCCGGATTGCTCGGACTTGCCCTTGTGAGGTTACATATACCTCTAACCTGACACCACTGAACCTACGCCCACCTTGTCGAAAATTACATCTTCGGTATTAATACATAAATAACAGACTAGCGGATTTACTTCCAGATTCTTACCGCACTTTGCCTGAATTCACTCGTGGTCGATAGCGGTCTCACCCGCTAGGAACCTTGGTTCGCATGAGTACTAGGTACATATGTGCCGCCATCAAAGCTGTTCCTTTCCTATCCAGCTTGAATGATTGAACGTTCCTTACTGTGTTACATTGTACATGATGGGCATTGCGTTTAAGGTTACGTCGGAATGTTCAATTGACGGTAGTTGTAAGGCCGGGCCTTACAATGCCTGCCGCAGGCAGTCAAATTCTCAATAAGGACCGATGGGTCCGCAGTTAGGCCTATTCATGGGTATGAATAAGGACTGCGGGTAATGTTGGCCGAATGGCTATTGTTTTTGAGTGAATCCCATTGTTCTTCTCTTACAGTACTCGTCGGTTCCGTCCCATACCACTAAGATAAGCACGCAGCCATTGTTGTGGCCCGCCTCTCACAAACCGACATCGAATTACGAACTAGCTCATCTATGGGCGCCAATACCATTTCCACGGTTGTAAACAGATCTCACTGTGGTGTGTGCCTGACAAATCAACTTGCCATGCTTAGCGATCAACATCCTTCCGTGATTAATCAACATTCGCATTGCAGTATAGGATTACCAATGGCATAATTGAAGCATATCACGGCACTAATATATAAGGCACGTGTTTCAACGTCTGTATATATACAAAATCCATTTTCAAATTACATTGACCACTCAAGTGTTCATTCTGATACGCCTTTCAGCCTCATAACAATGTCATCCTTAGCCAACCAAGCCGCATGGCAGCCCAAGGCTCGCACCAGATCCCTCCAAGTCGGCCCGGGGCCAACTCCTAGCCCTAATGAGCATGAAGTAGTGATCCGAGTGGCCTACGCGGCGGTCAATCCGACCGATTGGAAGGTGAGCCACTAGTCGTGAAAGAAAATAGGTATCTTTTCGAAACGCCGGTCACTGAAGCCAGTCCGACTACACAGATGCAAGACTCCCCGTACTTCGAGCTCGAGTACCCATTCATCTGGGGCACCGATGTCGCGGGAACCATTGTGCAGCTTGGCTCCGAGGTCACTCAATTTAAAGTCGGACAGAGAGTGATTGGGTGCGCTTAACCTCACTCTCCCTTCTTGAACTTTGACAGAGTATAGTGAATGGATATTAATCCGAGCGGAAAATAAGCCACTGCGACTCATTACTCACGCGCAAAATCACGAACGCGGGCTTCCAGCTCTACACCACCGTCCGAGAAATCCTCGTTGCGGAAGTTCCCGACTCCCTGCCTCTAGCCAACGCGGCCGTGCTTCCTCTGTCGGTGTCCACCGCTGCCAGTGCTCTCTACGTGCAGCTGGATCTCCCTTTCCCCTCCCTGAGTCCCAAGAGCAGGGGTAAGCGCATTGTCATCTGGGGCGGGAGTTCGTCGGTCGGCAGCTCGGCCATCCAACTGGCGGTCGCGTCAGGACTCGAAGTGCTGGCTACCGGCAGTGAAGCCAACCACGATCTTGTCCGGTGTCTCGGCGCTTCGCGAGTCTTCGATCACCGGGACCCCGACGTGGTTGATCAGATTGCCGGTCTTTTGAGGCAGGGAGATTATGTTGTGGACTGCATCGGGAGTGCAGATACCCAGGCGAAATGCGGTCAGATCCTGGGGGGAATAGGGGGAGGAACGCTCCCGGTGATGCTATGGCCGCAGGGCGGGCTGCCGGAGAACGTGAGGGCAGTTTTTGGTGAGTCTGTTGATTCTTTTTTTCGCTATATCACAATCGGTGAATATGCTGACGGATGTTATGCAAGTCAACGGGTTGGATCCGGGGATGGTGGATCTGGACGTGGGCAATGCAGTGTGGCGGAGATTTATCCCTGAAGCGTTGGCAGCGGGGAAGTTCCAAGCGAAACCGGACCCTCGTATTGTGCCTGGTGGGCTGGAGAAGGTTCAAGAAGGAATAGATATTTTGCGCCAGGGAGTGTCGGCTCAGAAAGTTGTGATAGAAATCTCTCGGGAATGAACATAACGACAATACTAGTATAGTATCTAGGGAAGCAGTGCCGGTGTCTACAGAAATACCTATCTAGATATGTACAGCGGACTGGAGAGTAAGAAACAGTTTCCCGTACATTCGGTTAAACACAGCCGGTTCCGGCGGCACCGGGCTCTTCATCTCCGAGAATCAGACGGGCGGAAGGTGATCCGGCGGCCCGAGCCGGCGTAGCCGGCTACGTAGATTACAGAAGGCCGTGGCGGCTACTGTCACCTGACGATATGACAAAATAACAAGGGTGCTTGTCCAAATCAATTATATAGCAGTTCTCGTCTTATACAATGGATATAAATTAGCTTCTCCGTGTGATATCCTAAGAACTGTAAGGTCTAATCACTAAGCACGATATCTTTTTTGATCTATTTATTTCCTCAGGTAGTTTTTGGACTCTTAATATAGTTAAAGTCGGGTATCTCGTATAGGGAGAAGAACGATGGAACAAAATTCGTAACAAGGCAAGCTAGGGCTAGCAGTAGTTGTATATTCAAATCGATCAGATCAGGCTATCAGACGAAATCGTGGCATACACAGAATTCGCTCTAACAAGATTTGTCATATCACAAAGTGACCGTGCTCGGAAATAATTGACAAAAAAAAGAGAATATCAATGTACATTATGACGGCGTTCGAATGTTTGTTGAGTCTCCTAAGCTGAACGGCCAACCCGAGAGCTGTGATTATCAAGGCCAGACCGTGTGGTGCACCAAGACCATGGACCTTTCCCATTTCTCGCGGGCGGCGCTCGAATTCCAGATCCTCTTTGAGGACGAGTCTGAGGAGTCTGAGGAGTCTGAGACCGAGTCACATTCCACACTTTAACCCACACGTTGCTCCGGGATGCGTATCTCGGGACTTTTGATATGAAGAAAACTAAGAAACAAAAAAAGGAGTAGGGTGGAATCAAACCCTGCATTAGCAATGATCAACATCTTTATACCCCAAATTTAAATACTATTTAAAACCACTTTATTCTCATGATCGATTATATGCCTACCGTAACAAATCCCTTTGATTGATGCACACTCCTGGTGAGGGTGGCTACATAGCCTGTGCTGTAGTCTCCATATTGTATATACGTTCGTGAGCGGCATTTCCGGTCATTTATGCTGTCACCCTTGCGGCAGACTGCATCCTCTGAGGTTCATCCGCATTAATCATAGCTTCATATTTCTTCAAGATTCCTTGTCATTGTACTAGCAGCAAAGACATGTTCTTCTTTCACTGTACCAGCCCATGCCGTCAAAACTCGAAGAAAGTCTTCCAGCGAGGCCTTGGAAGTATATCCTTTACCGATATTCTTCACGATGGTATTCCATTGTTCGTCCACTTATGCAACATGGAACTCTTCAATAAACAAGCCTTTATGTGCAAGAACCATGTAGGAAATTTTCCCTCAACTGAAAAATTGCCTTTGTCCTAAACTCGAAAGAAGAACATACTTGTCTACGCCAAACAGAAGATATAAAATGAGGTACACTACCTTCTAATACCAGAGAAGATTATCAGATCACATGTCTATCATCCTTGAACGATTTCTCGACGCCTTAAGAGTCAAGTTTCACGTAGTCCAGAAAACATTCCACAACCATGGCGCAGCCCGAAGACGTTAGCCACCGTATCCCCACGTTCACCGAGCAGGAGAAGCTGCCCGGCACAGATACGCTCTCCGCGACCTGGATTGCGGTCATTCTTCTTGAGACTGTGGAGTACCCCGAGCTCGTTGCCGATGACTGGGCGCTGGCCCTGCAAATCCTCCAGGGAGTATGGCAGAACCGCCGGCTAAAGCACCCAGCTCTTTATCACAGGCGAATGGGTGGTGTTCTCGCTGCCAAGGGATGTGTTCGCATATTCATCGAGTCCCACATTGGGTCCGGGACCTGTGGCCCGCCGCTGCGCTGGGAGTATGGAGGTGTGGATGAGTTTGGTGAGCTGCATCTGGATGAGAATTGGGAAGACCTCAATGATGCTTTGGAAGCACTCTGCGATATTTATGGGAATGAGGCTGAGGCTGAGGCTGAGGCTGGGGGTGGAGATTCGGCGAGTCTTACATGGGAAGAAGGGTACTAATTCCTAACAGTTTTTTTCTCGCCCGAATTACCTTTTTGATGATTAGATAAATGAACACTTCGAACCAAAAAAATAGATGAAGGAATATTTACCACTAAAGGGATAAATGACAAACCTCAATTCAGCAAGTAGAACAGGTCATCTTAAATCAGGCAATGAACGGCTTCTACGCCATGTAAAACCTAGTCCAGCCTCAGAGATAGTGACCGTCTGGCGTACAGTGACATTATATTCCTCTTCATCCTCAGACCGCTAATTAGACTCGGTCCAGCTACTGCTGAAACACCACTATCACACGACCCCATTCATCGATAATGGCCTCAACAGCTGTCAGTCCATACCAGACAGCCTGGGTCTGGGTGTTAGTGGCACATGCCGCTTTTGAGATGAAGTACCTACACAGCTGCTTGTCAGTGTTCACATATCTTGTACTTCATCTGGATCCTGCATTGTCATAGGTGCGAAGGACTTAAGGGCGAACTACTTACTCAGGCGAAGAGAGCAGTAGCAAGGAGTGGGCAACCGCTATTAAGGTGCCTACAATAAACAGCCAGATAACAAACAACCTGGCCGCGCCTGGTTGATCAGAGTGACTGAGGTCGAACATTTTGAATGTACGATTGTTGCAAGAATAGGAGATGTGTTGGAAGATGAAAGGCTTTCTTTGCTGATACCGTGTACTAAAGGAGCAGTGGCTTGTGGAATGGTTGTAGGAAGAAAAGAAGGTGGTGTGTTGGAAGTCTTTCCTGAGTCACTATATACAGATGGTGATAATCATGACGGGTGTGAGCGGAAACTAATTCCTGTCGTCCAGGTAAGTAATAATAGTATCAGCTGAGGTTCTGACAGGAAGCACAGTATGAAATCATTATTACCGGCGTTTCGATTACTGAGTATGTTATCAAGTAACAGATCAGCTGTGCAGGATTGTATGGGGTATTGAGACTACAACGCAGTCGCCTAAAATATCTTCCGTCATATCGTATGCTACCTTTGCCCACCGAGAAATATAGTTGACCCTGAACAATTATAATCATCACCCTCCGAGTGTGTAAGGTATATATCACTCTCCTTGTTTCTCCTCACCACCCCGTCTATCGACAAACGCTAAAATCATTGCCTTTCGCTTAGTCTCCACCCAAATGGGCCAGAACTGTAGCCTAGCATAGCCGTACTGATAATTCACTCGGCTCTATAATAAGTTTCGTTAATGCAGGCTATTCGACAGTAAAACTTTACCCGTATACGCACAGCGCAACGGGCTTTCGACAAGTATTAAGCGGAAGTCCCCGACCTTCAAACACAGATTTGATCGATGAGTCTTTGACAAGCCACGCGTGCGCCCACGTCAGGTCCCGGCGCAAATACTCTCTATAGAAGACCAACCATCCACAATCCTTTCTTTCACACGAATGACCACCTCGTTGATAGCATGCATGGAACCCCCTGATCAGCAGCCATTTCTCAGGCGCGATTCGTCAGCAAAACATGACGAACCAGATCGGTCGAGTCTTATGCTCCCAACAAAGGCCTTTCTTCCTCGCCTAAAGCTTCTTTCAGTCCACGGCAAATATATATGAAAAATTCAGACAAAGAGATTTTTCCGCGCCCCAAACACAACTGCATAAATAGGGGCTAATGGCTCTCGATTAGCTGAACCCGCCAACTCCTCAACTCCACTGACCCCTCATACTCCGTGTCATGCACCTCCGAATACGTCGAATAAGCAAAAACCCCAAGATGCTCAGTCTCCCGGACACATTCACCCAGTTCACCGAGCTTGGCGAGGCAGATATCGGCACCCTGCACGGCGACCATGTCTCCGTCGTGGTGATTCATATCAAGAATGCCAGGTTTCTCATGGACGATTGGGCACCGGCCGTGCAGATTCTCCAGGATCAATGGCACGGTAAGCGGCAGCAGCAGCAGCAGCGGTATCCGCAGCCCGATGGGAAGCCACTGGGTGGGGTTCTCTCGACCAGAGATTCTTGTCGTTTTTACACTGAGCCCACGGCCGGGGACGGCCCGCCGCAGCGATTGGAGTACCAGGGTCGCAGCGAGTTTGTACCCCCCGTCAATGACGAGCACCCAGAGGTGTTTTTGGCTTTTCTAAGGACCTGCCTGGATGGGCTTGGGGCTTCGGGTTTTGAAGTCGACGTGACATAAGGTAGAACGGATGAGGTACTTTAGGGTGGGGTCTGGGAGGCGGGAGGGAGCTATAGACATGTTTGAGACAAAATTCACCTTATCGAAATCTGGAGTTGTACTAGACGATTTAAGCTAGTCCCAACACACAAATAGAATATGAGTGTGATACTAGTATCTTGTTCTTGTTTTATAGATTAATGTAAAATTCAAGAAGCGACCACGCCGAGAAAGAGAAGCGGTCACGATCGCGTGTTGAGATTCTTTCCTTATTTTCTTTTCTAAGTATTCTTATGCCAGCCCGCACAAATCAATCGGGCTTTTCACAGGTGAATTCATTGTTATAGGTACCTTGCTATTTGAGGGTGACAAGACTTGAGAGCTCTCCTCGCCGTTGGCGTGTGGGTAGAGCCTCCCAAGCCAAAATCAACTGCACTAGAACTTGGACGTATTAACGCTTAGCTTTGTGAAGCAGGTATAGTACACTTCTTGCCCGTCGACTGATCTATGTATTCATCCTGTTGGTTGAATAATATTTACGGGGCATGGTGGAGCACAGACAGGGTTAAGCCTCGCGTGCCACCATTCCAACGCGGAGGCGGGTGTGACATGGCTCACAACTAGTGCATATGGCTGCATGGAAGGTGAGACGTCGATATGGCAAAGCAACTCAAATCCTGCTTATCGAATACTGTTATTGGCGCTCGCCCTACAAGCCGTGGGACAAAGAGAGCCGATTCTGATCGTCTTGCGCCGGTCAAGACCTTTTAGGTAGCTCCGGCAACGTACTTTGAAGATGATTATCTTTTTAGTCTTTGTCTGTAATAGATTAGAAAAGAGGCTTGGTCCTGTTGGAGTATATTTTCTTTTTTCCATGCAGCTGCATAATCAGAATTATGAATGACTCCTAGGCTAGAACAACCTTCTACCACTTCACATGCATAGGAAAATCATCACCCGACGTCGGTCCTCAGCGTAAATATTTCCCAAGAGAAACGCAACCATACATAATCCTTTGTTTCGCATACAATGAGGTGTTTACTACCCTGCATCAACTCTCGCATAAGCAGGCATTTCTCAGTAGTGCTTTAAACTCTATTTCCATCAACTCAAGACGACTTATAATGAGCATGAAAGGTTCAAAGAGCTCTACGCTCTCAACAAAGCTTTTTATCCGCAGCGCATGGCTCAAGATCTCTTTCAACTTATCTGTTCCAACAAAGAACAAACAAATCACACGGACCCGCCGAGCGCTTACCCCGTTACTGCATAAATAGGCCCCAACAGCTCCCCGATTTGAGACATCAACGGCTCTCCAACCCCACTCAAACTCGATACTCCGTCTCGTGCACATTCCAGATAAAAAAAAGGAAAAGAAAGAAAAAGGTAAAAGTTTCGAACACGAAGACGTGCAAAATGTTCAACAATTCAGCCCCAGACGGTGTGTGACAGGTCACAGACGTCTCCACGCAGCTTACGAAGTTTGGCATGGTCGAGATTGGGATCTTATACAGCGATACGATCCATATCATGACGATTGGCCTCAAAGACCCCATGCTTCTCACCAACAACTGGATGCCGGCCATAGAGATCCTCCAGGATCGATGGCAAAATTACCGGCAGCGCCCAGAATACCGTGGTGGCCGACTGCTCGGAGTGCTCATCAGTGGGGATATCTGTCGTTTGTATGTCGAGCCCTTGGTTGAGCGCGGCCCGCCGATGCTCTTCAAATATCAGGGTCGAAGCGAGTTCGTGCCCTTTCCGAAGGAGGATGACCTAGAGGCGTTCAATGCTTTCATAGACTGCTTTTACGAGCCTGTGGGCCCACGGTCTTGAGGTTTAGGCTCGGGTCGTGAGCGGGGCTGGTGAGCTGTAGTACTCAAGGAAGTTCAATTGATTTGAATCTAAGTTCTATTCATGTTCTATTAACCTAGGGAGCCCGTAGGACTCAGGTCGCTTATTGTGGGTAGCTACAAAGGGGCTTCGTCGAAGCCAAGAACTCGCCGGTGTGGTGAGCTGTTGTAGCTATGGCCCTTCGTATTTCCTAGAGGCTGTTACCTTGACAAAGAATAACAATATCACATCTATTACTTTATCTTTATAGAGGGTATAACATTCGATCTAGTACTCTGTGAGATACTTGCACAAAAGGACATATCCTAGTGACAGGTAAAACATTATCTTGGAAATGGCTTCGATCATAAGCATAAAGCAGGGGCTATACAATTTAGGGCTTTTCTGATTCTGAAATGCCAGTCAGTTGGGGTAACCGACTAACCTACAGCTACATGCCGTTGAAAGATGATGCAACACTACAATCTACAGTTGAAAAAGGCATGTCCTCTAACAGGCGCAAAGGAAACAGGCAAAGCAAGTGACAAGGGAAAAGAATTTGATAACAAAAGGTCAAAAACATACAACAGAAGGGATTCGCTGGTGGTCACCCACCCAACTACTAACCTCCCGGCGTGTGGCTTGAGTACGGCTGAGCGGACGGGAAGCCCTATTTTCCACACCCTGTGGTCGTATGTGCTAGGTTAATGAACTAAATAGAATCAAGAACTCAAGTCCCACACACCCTTGATAGTTTTGACGGGCACAATCTCTTCAAGGCTGCTCTTGATCTTCTGAAACATGACGCGATAATGCTCCGAGGGACTAGATTGTACAATGAATTTATTATGCAGTGTCAGTTCAGTCATGATATACCGTGGCTGGCATGATTCCTAACGGCGGCTTTTCGTGACAGGTATGAAAAGGGACTAAGATCCGATCTACTTAGATAGAGATTGGATGGATTGAACGCAGTAGACTGCGCGAAAGCCTGATATGACTTAATCCTTGATTCCACCTCAATGTGAATCTTACCGCCTTCTACCTCTTGATTGAGATTCTTTGGGTGTCATGGTATGGATTATAATCCATCTCCAGTAAGGTGATTTCAAGAACTAGGTCCCTATTCAGACTCCGCCAAACTGTCGAATATGAATCAATATTGAATTCAATTGTTTCTGATGCATCACTATTGCTCCGATTGCTCTAAGTATATTGTCTCGGATGAGCACGCGACTCAATACTTTCAATCTCAGAAAGCAAGACAAAAAATGGTAATCCTCTAATGCATATGAGGTATAGCCACACGCATTATTTGCACAGACAGCAAATTTGAGCCAGAAAACAAGAGTATCATGTCAAAATAACCAGTAGCTTGAAAACTACCCGTGGAAAAATACTCTCTGGCCTAGAGGCTCGAAGGTCTTCTCCACCGGGGAACCAGTTGGCTTCCCGAACACCAACTGAGCCTTGAGACTCCAGCTTTTAGGGACTTTCCAATGCTCAGTGATAGGAGCATCCAGCATAGGACTATAATGTTGAAGATTACACCCCAGCCCTTCTGCCTCCAGGAGGGCCCAAGCTAGGTTGTGTTAGCGAAATGTTGATCTATCTTTCATACAACGACAGTACTTACTTGCAAATTGATGCATGCCATTGGAATGCTCGGACCCTGGAAAGAAGTTAGCACAGCTGTACTTCTAATATTCTCGTTTGATGTCACTTGCATTGTGGGAATTTGTCTCTGAGCATAGGCCATTTTTCCTCGAGGCGTTTCAGAGGCATCGGGTCTTCGTAAAATAATACCTATTGCCTGGTGATTAGACCCAATTGACGCTAATGCCAAGCGCATCAGCAGGGCTCACTTACAGTTCCGTATCCAGCACGGTACATGGCGATCCGTGGCCTGTAGAGCTTCTCAAACAACTCCGGGCTCACTGTCGAGGAGGCCACTTCTGCTGCCAGGTCCCATAGCTTCCGATGCTCATCTTTGAGTAGAACCACTAGACGTGTTGCCTGGCTATTGAAAGCACTAGGAGTGTGTAGGACGACCTCATTGATCAACTCTTCTAATCTCTCATCAGAGATAGTGGATTCATTGGTAAGAGCATAGATCGTTCGACGGCCTCTGAAGCCGTCGCTCACAGCAGTCGCAAGATTGTGCATGACGTAGTGGAATGGTACTCGGATCGAGTGATGAGAGAAGATAATGACTGGTAGCAGAGAAATTTGGGAGTTTGTGATCATTATTTCACAAGTGGGTGGGCTACAAGTCTTAAATAGTACGAAACAAGAAGAACGAAGGAATGCGGAGTATCCACTACAGACCGTAATATACTCAGCCTTGCTTATTCTTTCCTCTGGTGAAGCTTAGTGTCTTCAACAAATTCTCCTCCCGATACGCGGGAAATGCGCCCGACATTTCTCGTTCGAGTTCGCAGTCAGGAAGTCGATCTTGTTTCAGGCGTGTCGGTCTATCTTTCATCGCGTTGAGCAGGTGTTCTTGTTTACTTTCATGATAATAGATCATTTTTGCGCGATCAGCTTAGGGTGATTGAACATAGCATTCTATGGAAGTCTGCCTTAATCAATCAGCTACGAATAGTCTTTTGAGCAAAATATTAATGCCACGGTCAGGAAATTATTTTGAATGAGATTCACCTGCAGTAGAACATGATGGCCTCGAGTGATTTGAACTGTGCCGCACGGGCGATCTGGCACCACCGGGGTGTCGGACATCTATACTTCCGGTTCTTTCGTCTACTTTGACACCGCCGGGTGGTCGGGCAGCTTACTGCCGATCCTTACGACCAATCGAACAGTGCCGGTAAGTCGGGCAACATTACCTCCGATCCTGTCGGTCGATTTGGCTCTAGAGCGTCTGCTCGGTCATATTCCGAATCACTTACGCTTATTTAAAGTTGTGGCAAAATTATGCGATGGAAATGAGACTGACCGACATAATAATCGGATCAAATTAACATAAGTAGTCGTTTTGGTTGTTTAGAAGATTATATCTTCTTGCCGAGCTTTGTAACTCTTTCTTGAAATTCGAGTCAACTTCTTAGCTGAAACGCTCTCTCAGTTGCCATGTCTGTAGGTGATCGACTGACAGCCGCGTTGAATATGAGAATCTACGTAGTTGAATAGATAAATCAATCTCACAGACATCTCGGCCACCTATCAGGGATGTCTCATAAGCTTTCAGCCGGGGCCTGATGTACCTACTGCCTATGCATGTACAGCGTGGAGTGAAGGTGTGTTCGGCCTTCTCTCCTTTCCCTGCTCATATATGAGATTCCGAGTAATTCCAAGAGAATATGAACTCCGGGTCGTGTTGACCTTGTCGAGTTCCTCGAAGCTGCGGAAGTAGACTTCGATGGTTACATCGTGGTCCTATCGGTAGTCATTTAGAAAGAGAGTGGACTGTGTTGTCTACTTCTCCAGCATGGAAAAAGGTAGCATTTGAATACTGAATTAGGGTTAGGCGGGGTGTCCGGAGTTAACGGAGAGAAGCCTTATCTCAGGGTGACCCCCAAACCCACACCCTGGTCAAGCTTCATATCCGATCCCCCTAACAAGGCTAAGTGAATGACATATCACATTGACTATCAATCGCATTTCATGTCTCAAGTTCGAGCCCCCCTCCCAAAATGGGCACGCATCTTGCCTCCAACAGGCATACCCTCCCCCCCAAATAGCAAAGCAACCGCACTACAACCCGCACCGCCTCAACTCCGCAAACACCGACTCCTCCCTCGCCAACAGCCACCCCGGCGCATTAACCTCCACCACCCTCCCCCGATCCAGCACAGCCACCAGATCCGCCTCCACCAGCGTCTCCACCCGATGCGCCACCATGACCACCGTATGCCCCGCAAACTCCCGCCGCAGCACCGCCTGCACCCGCCGATCCGCCGCCCCATCCACCGCGCTCGTCGCCTCGTCCAGCACGACGATCCGCGTCGCGTCCTTGCGCAGGAGCGCGCGCGCCAGGCAGAAGAGCTGCTGCTGGCCTGGGGAGAGCGCGAGGTCCTGCATCGCTGCGTCCAGCGGGTTGTGATCGTGATTCTGGGCTCTCCCGCGTCCGGCTTTCTCGGCGACGGTAGCCCAGAGGTCGGACTGGGTGAGTGCGGTTTGGATCTGTTGGTCGGAGTATGTCTCAGGGTGGTTGCTGCCCGGTGGCAAGGTGGAACCACCACTGGTCAGGGTGAGCGTCATGTTCTCGCGGACTGAGCCAGACACAAAAAACGGTTCCTGCGGGTTGGTGATGATCCGGTCGCGGAGGCAGGTCCGCGGGACAGTGCGGATGTCGTGCCCGTCAATGAGGATCTGTCCTGCGTTGAGATCGAGCAGGCGCAGGAGCGCGGCCAGAAGCGTGCTTTTCCCGCTGCCGGTGCGTCCGCACACCCCTAGTTTTGTGCCCGCGGGGACGGTGAAGGTGACTTCTTGGAGGGAGGGTGGGACTCCCAGGTCGGAGGTCCAGGAGGCGGTTGCTTGTTGGAAGACGATCTCGCCGTGGCTTGGCCAGGTGGGGGGTGGGGGGTCTTGGTTGTCGTCGGTCTCCTGCGGGGTGAGCTGCGCGGTGGATTTGACGCGGGAGATTGCCCCAAGGGAGGTCTCCAGGGTGGTCCAGTAGGTGAAGAGCATCTGGAAGGTGGCGTTGAAGCCGAGAATACTGTTCAGCGCGAGACCGATCTGGCCGCCCGAGCTGGACGTGCGCAGGGTGACGGCCAGAGTGACTAAGATAACTGCTAGGGTCCCAATGAGCAGCTGCAGCACTAGGTCGAGCCACCGCTGGATACAGTATAACAGGTAATACGGTTTTTGGGACTCGTTGAGCAGGTGGTCGCTGCGCGTAGTGAATGCTTCCTCCCAGCCGACAGCCCGGATCGTCACCAGCCCCTCGAGTGTCTCCATGAAGTGCGTGTAGAGGGGGCTTCTGGCTTCGAGGTCGAGAAATCGGATCTGGCGCGAGGTGCGCAGATAGATATTCTGGAGCACATACACGAGGCAGATGAGTCCCGGAATGGTTAATGCCATGAAGCTGGATCCTGCCGCTATGAGGCCGATCTGGGCCAGTCCGTTGGCCAGGGCTGGATTCATGGTCTGATGGCCATCTCACTCATACTACTTGGAGATAACACGAACCTTGAAGCGTGATGATCATCGAGGCCGGCAGCATGGCGTCTACCAAGGACATGTCTTGGCTGAATAGATTGAGTATGACCCCGCTATCAACCTTGTCGAGGTACGACTGGGTAGCGCGCGTCACGGTGTCGATGAGGGTTTGATGCAAATTGGCGCCGGACTTGGGAATGAGGTATATGAAAACGATCTTACGAGGTCGATGCAGATTAGTCACTGTTTATGCAGGGCGGGCGAGTGTCCTGACCTCATCGACAGATAGAAGGCCGTAAGAGCAGTCAGTGCGACTACAGCGTAGACGGCACAAAATACCCCGACATTGTTGACGGTGGCCCTTGTGTACAATTCCAACCAGATCTCTGCGATGCCAATTAGCCAAAGGTTTTCAAGTCATAGCATAGGAGCCCCGGAACATACGTGGAAGGTAAGTTGTGACGGCAACCAGCGCCACCATGAGCAACATCATCGAGGAGAGCTTCCACCCGAACGAGCGGGTGTAGTATTTGTACACGGCGAGGTCCCCGGTCCGCCGACTCAAGTTACTGATATCGGTCGCGGTCGGTCCTCGGAGTGCTTTTGGCAGCGACTTGCTTTGCTTACTTTTTGAGGCAGCTTCGTCGAACCGATCCCGCAAGCCAATATCTGCACTGGCCGCCTCATGCAGCAGCTCCGGTCCACCCCGGTGGGCGAAGTCCGTCCAGGATCCCTGGTGCGCAATGTGGCCCGATCGATCCAACGCAATGATCTGATCGGCCAAATGCAGGTGTCTGACGGCATGGGTCACCAGAACGACTGTGAACCCATTGCGTCGCAGCAACCCCTCCGGGGCGAACAGATTCTGCACGATCTGAGATTCTGTCTTCGTGTCCAGAGCGCTGAAGACATCGTCCAGCATTAGAACGGACCGTCTACTGTAGAGTGCTCGAGCGAGCGCCTTAGAAAGGATCGATTAGTAATCGAATCAACATACATAGAGCAAGATAGGGACTTACAACGCGCTGCTTCTGACCACCACTCAGCGTCACGCCCCGGCCTCCGAGAAGAGTATCGTCCATCTGCGGCAGGCGCTTGACGTCGACATCCAGAAGACAGGCTCTCAGCACAGTGGCGTACCAATCTGCATCGGACTCACCGCCGGGGCCGGTAATGGCCTCTCGAAACAAGAGATTTTGCAGCCATGGATTCTGGCTACAGTATGCGATATCTCGGCTGTTGACCTGGATGCTGCCGGGGGTGGAGGTTGCCTCACCCAGGATTGCTTTTAGAAGCGTGCTTTTCCCCGAGCCGACGGGGCCAACAACAAAGCTAACCGAACCGGGGAGGACTTGCCAATCGACACTGTGCAGAACATTCTCAGATTCTGGCGCCGGTCGGATATCGGCTTTCTCGAAGGAGACGATAGGCCGATCGGCCGATCTTGCGGGGAGGCTCTGCAGGAACATGGCCGACTTTCTTACATTGTGAATTACCCGCGCACTATCGGCCCTGTCGGCTTCGGATAAATAGGCATGGATTCGATCGAGACATCCCAGTGCCGAAATCAAGGTCGGGTAGGAGGCAAGGAGCTCTCTGGCCGGGTCCGTCAGCAACGAGATGATGGCCAAGGTCCCAAACGCTTTGTCGGTGGTCAACCGCTGGGATTGGACGGTATAGATGAGAAAGACCAGAAATGGCCCAATCTCGACCGGGATCATTGCTGGCTTAAGTTAGTGTTGCCTTCTCAGAGGATCGTTGTCAGGGGCGAGGAGGGGAGAGGGGGTGTGAAATGGGTGAAACCGACAGATAGTGTTGCGCCAAATGCCAAAGACCCGAAAGCTCGCCCCGAGATGTAGTTCACGAATTCTCTGCCTTTGAATGGCTTGATTCATGCGGTCGGACAAGCCCATCATCTTGACACTCTTCATGCCCCCCAGGAGGGAGGAAGTGAGAGCAACCCGGCGTTGCACCGCGCCAACCCATGTTTTCTGGGCGGGCCCGATCTTCTTGGCCACATGCAATGATGCATAGAATGCGCCTGGAGAGGATGGCTTAGAATTTGGGACTATTACAACACGCAGAGAAAGCAGGGGCCACAGGTATCGTACCAACCACGGCGATGGGGGGACCGATGCAAATCCACCCGACCTGGCGCTCCAGCAGCCACAATCCCATCGCCAGCTCCACCGTGCGCGCCCAGACCTCGGCGATCTGGCGCAGGCTGAAGGCGATCCGATCGACATCCGTGCTCATGAGGGTGAGCGCCGCAGACTCATCCGGAGCCTTGGCGAGACCCAGGGTCTTGGAGTAGATCTGCGAAACCATGGCGCCGCGAAACATGGTGATCATGCGATAGAGACGGTGTTGATAATGGGCTGTGGAGAGCTAGGAGGCGAGTGTTAACCCCCGTGCTTTCGGCCATTGTCTATGGGGTGCATTACCGCAATGCCTAGGTAAACCAACCCCGTCGCTGCAATCAAACCGTACCCGTCACTCTTGTCTTGGGTCTGGCCAGCATCGCTAACATAGCTGATCACCCGTGTGATAAGAAATGGCTGGGCAAATGTGAAGCCAACAAGGCACAGTCGGGGGACGACAGTCTGGAGCAGCGGCCACTTGAGGCAATGGAAGAGGGCGACCAGCAGGGAGAAGCGGTGCTCAGACCGATCTATCTCAAATTAGCTTGACTTATTTTGGGTTCCAATAGAGGATGACCCTTTCTTGTGCTACGGATGGGATGGATCCAAAACATACGCTTCGACCACGCAACCTGCATACGATCATGCAACCGTCGAGCTGACAGCTCTTGGTCTACGCGGTCAAGATCATCGAGGGAAAGATTTCTCCGATACCCGCGAACGAACAAGGGGCTCAACCACCAGAAGAAGCTGCGATTGATGATGCCACTTGTGGACTCGGGTGGGTACTTGTTGCGGAACGCATCATACAGCCAGACGCGTTTGTCAACGGTCTCGAGAAAGAGCAGTACTGTCTCGGTCCCCAGCGCGACGGAAGCGACAGTCGATATGGTGGTCAAGTCTCTTCTGATGTATAGGCTTCGCAGCTGAGTTGCATTAAACAAACTGTCGAACGGGAGATAGATGCAGAGGAGCGAAGATGGGCGCTCTGAGCGCGTATGCTCGAAGATGGAGAGTGGGAGGAGGAGGCCGCTCCCTAACAATGACACTGCAGCCGATGCGATGGACGCTGAAGTGGCGGGCCGGATGCACCACAGTGTGAACAATGCAATTCGGAGGCTAATGAGGATGATTGCCACCGTCTGAGATTGAGCCACAGATTATTCACCTATGCAGGAATCTTGGGGGTTGGGGGGCGAGGTCAGCTTTTGTCTTACTGCTTTTGCGTATGGCAGGGGATGAGCGACTGGTGCTTTTTTCGTGCTTCGCAGTAGTTGAATCAAGCGCGGCGGTGCCAGTAGACGGAGGAGGATTGAAGGGACCAGGCCCAAGATACTCTGTTCAAATAAGAGGGTAAAAAATCGAATTGGATGAGGCAGTCGGAGAGTGAAGGACCAAACCTCTGGTCATCACTGCGACAATTGTACGTCATAAGGGAAACCTAGTTGGGGGAAGAGAGAGGGACCAGGGGAAGGGGAAGGAGAGTGACTAAATAGGATAACGGGTTAGATTAAGACTTGTTAATCATAGCGGACGACAATGATAAGACAGGCTTTTGTATGGCACCTCTGTATTTGGCGAAACGGGAAAATCCACTTAGAATGTAACAGACCGAAGAGAACCAAGCACAAGCACATACATAGACAGGATATGAACCTCATTGCAACATCTCGATAAGAGAATTGTACAAATCATCCCAGATGATGCATGGTAAAAGATAGCAAAAGTCATCGAGCTGTAGGCGGTGAGTACTTTAGTAACACTAGCACTACCTAGTGACAAAACCCTTGGATGTGAATGTGAAACAAGCTCCGGGCGATACAGGTCGGTTGATAAGGACACAATGACACCAATGGCAACGTGACGGTTGTCGGTGGTGTGGGGCAAGGCAAACGCACGGGCCGATCCTCCGACGGGTTGTAACCGGAGTCCCGCTGCGGAGTCAATGACAGGTTCCACGGTGTATAGTACAGTGTGAGACGGTAACGTCTGTAATATACACTGCTAAATTACAGAGTGTACTGTACTGCTGACTACAGCTCCAGCACAGTGAACAGCTACTTCCGCGGGCTTCACCTTCGCTGTGACAATAAACTAGGCAGGGGGGACATCAAGCATATAGGGTTCTACGTGCTGAAGCTGGAGTTCGTCAAGTGCCTGCGCCTCGACCCGCACTTGAACCAGTTCTTTACGGCAAAACCCCGTCCTACGACTGAACGTGCAGGAATCTCACCAATCATCACCAGCCACCATCATCTATTCCAGCTTGAAAAGAGAAGCCCAGGGTAAGAAGATCAGTATAGACGAAGGATGTTTGCCAGCACCCAATCGAAAATCAAAGTCCGGCTATCCAAACATCAGCTCTACAGGATTACGTCCAGGCAAGTCCGCAACAACAACCTTCATTCTTATCGCAACTCGCATCTCAATACACTCAAAAATCGTAGTCAAACCACAGAACTCTCAACGTCATAGATTCAGATAGATCTGACCGCCAACGGCCCCACACCACTCGGGCCGGCTTCCAGATGATATCGGATGATATGCAAATAATCCTCCCCGCGACCGGCATTGATATCCCCCGTCATATGGCTATACCCCAGCGCCTGAACCGTAGACAGCTCGACCTTCTCCGCCTGCCGCAGCAGCTTGACGTCGACGATGAGGGCGCCTGGGCCCTGCAGGGTGTGGATGTAGCGGTAGGCCCCGCCCCCCCCCCTTGGCCAGGTCGTGGTAGTCCTTGGTCTCGTCCTCCTGGACCAGGATCCGGCTCCCTAGGCTAGTAGAGCTTGAACTGAATTGATTCGAATAACGAATGGACGGACGTACATGATCCTTACAGTCGAACCCTACGATGGGCGGCACCACCGTCGCCTCGCCATGGGCTGTTCAAAAATGCGTAGATCATCATTTATCATCTCAAGTCATAAGCGATATCCATCAGCGGCACGCATGTCCTCACATCTCTGCCGGGCAGAGAGCACCTCACCTATCTCGAGCATGCAGCGCATTCCACTCCATGGTATTCAACAGGAATTGATTTGCACCCACGTCCCCAGCCGCCGGCCCAGCCATATCCAGGCAGCCCCACGGTTCCAACCCGGTCGCGCCGTGCCCGCCAGCGCCGTACGCCATCTCCGGCGCAGCGAAGTCCATCTGCATAGGCATGTCGAGATCCCCGGCTTTGACCCCCACGACCCCACCCGACTCCACCGCAGCAGCCGCATCCATCCCGAAACTCGCCGTCATCTGCATCACCTTATCCCGGATATCCACAACCATCCGTGGTGGCACCGGCGGCGGCGTCTCGAGCTGGGCTGCCACAGCCATCTTCTCCCGCGCCTCCCACGCCTGAAGGACAATCCGCGAGAAGACGATAAAGAACGGCCGATCGTCCTGGCTGGCGTCCATCATCCGCACCGCGTAATTGTCGCTCATGGCCTCCCACGCGCGGTCGGCGTGGGCTTCGACGGGCCGCTTCTTTAGGTCCTGCAGCAGGTGGATGTACGCCGGGAACGGGAAGTGGAAGTGCACCAGCCACCGGTAGCCCTGCGTGAGCGGCGAGGTCATGAGCTCGGTGTCGCATTCGAGCATGCGCAGCGCGTGCGCAATGCCCGTGTTGCGCTGGGCGTCGGTCGGTGGCACCGAGGTGTTGGAGCATTGGGAGTAGTGCTGCAGGAGCCGGCTCTTGGCCAGGGACCCCCGCATGGTCCAGAGGGTCATGAAGTGCAGGGCGTTCTCCGGGTTGCAGAAGGCCAGGTATTTCTCCTCTAGGGCTCGTTCCAGGGAGACCAGTTGCGCGGTTTCGTCGGTGAGACGCGTGGCGATCGTGTTGAGAGAGGGATTGGTGAAGTTGAGATGGAATGCGCTGTGGCGCACGAAATCGGCCAGCTCGCTCCGCACCACGGCGAACAGCATCTCCGTGGGTCGGTTGTTGGGGGCGGGGGGCGTTTTCATCTCCGGCTGCAGCTCAAAGTCGTTCACGTTGAGCGGCACCTTGCAGTCCCAGGTCGGCGCCAGCGATGCTGTCTTGTCGTCGGACATCTCGCAGATCCGGTTGTCGAAGATGATGAGCGACCACCACAGCCGGTGGCGCATTTCCGTCTCTAACGCGGAACATTTGCCGTATGTTGACTCGTTGTGGATGCCTATGCGTTGGGCGATTCGGATTGCGACACTCAGCAGTGAGGACAGGGATGCGGGATCTGTGTCCGGGCGAATGGAAACCTGTACCACTTTAGTATAGCACATCCACACGGCGCCAAACAGCCAGACTCACGAGGTACAGATATAGGGCAGTCAGAGACTCGCGGTCGCTGGAGCGTAGAATAGAGCAACTTCGTAGCGCCTGCTGGCACGCAAACTGATAGCCGGTCGAGAGTTCTTTTTTTGCGCTTCCGAACAATGCACGGCATTGCTCGTCTGAGAGACTCAGAAGGGAGACGCAGTAGATGCTGAACATCAGCGCTTCTAAGGTGGGGCTGATGTTGGTGATATCACTGGCAGCATCAATGATCCGTGTCTGCAAGGTGGGGGTGTGTGTGACTTTGAGCAGCGGGTTCACATTGTCCAGGTAGACCTGCCACAACCGGAAGATGTGCACATGGCTTGGATGCGAAGCGGAAAGATTGACGGTGCCTACCGGGGAGCCAAAGAGGAGGTGGTCGTTGTTTTGACCTTGAAACGTGTGGTTCCACGCCTTCTGGATCACGGCGGGCCGCACATCATCGGTATCGTGCAGGAAACCGGTGTCATGCTCGTCGTCCTCGCCGTTATTGCCATCGTCGTCCCCACGATTTACAAGCTAGTCCGGTGGTCAGTGAACCAGTTGCAAGCCCTGTCAAGGAAGACACCCCTCCTACCTTTTGGCTCATCGCATGCCAGAGGTTTCTAGCAGACAATTAGTCGTCCACTAATAAGTGAGTTAATGCAGGACCCGAATTCATACAATGACTTGGTCTTGACGGCGGGCTTCTCTCTCTCACCAAAAGTGCCCTCCGACTCGGCCCCCTCTGGCAGGTCGTCGCGGCCATCGTCACTGGCAGACCGATGATCAGCGGTCGGAGTGTGGAGGGGATCGAACTTGATGTTGTGCTGTTGGAGGAGACTCTCATAGAGTCGCAGACGGGTCAACAACTCTTTCTCGGGAAATCTGCGCCGTCGCTGGCGAGTGGCTTGCTCGCATTGTACGTGGGCTCGAACACAGTTGGTGCAGGGGAATGTGCGGTCACATTTGATCTTGCGTTGCTGACAGAGCACGCACGCCAGCACGCGCCGAGGCTGCTGGGGCTTGACGACTGTGGCCGTCTGATTGGATGCAGAAATCGGTGTGTCCATGACAGAAGACGAGAACTGATCCTAGACCCGGTTGCCCGAAGCCCGAAGATGTTGGGTTGGGTGACGAAGGAAAGAATGAAGGAATGAGAAAGCAGGTAAGCAGAGAGAGAGGAGACGCTCGGGTTTTATAAGGGCCGAGGAACCCCCGCCACATGCCAAGCCTCGCACTTTCCAACCCCCGGTGCCCTATCAAAGACCAAGCACCAGCCCTCCCTTACATTAGTAAAGTAGATTTATATTTTCGGGTTTCTTTTAGACGAGCAGTAATAATATGCAGATGCCTAATGAGTACTGTTTTATTTGTTTTCATTACAACAGCTATTTTTATATATCCAGTGGTGAAATGATTATCTAGACTACGAGAAATATATCCTGAGCGAGTTGTATCGAGTAGCACTAAGCAGCTACTAGAAATAATACCTATAAGCCCGAAGAATGGTATGCTTGAATTATATGATAAGACGCTGTAACAGGGATTCCAGGCTGGACTGATTCTTTGATTGCTAACTATGCCCAGGACCGCGACTCGACAGTGGAAGAGTGTCCAGAAGGAGGAGTCCAAGCCTAATACAGGGAATAGAGGAAATTGGAGGCGAGAAGGCGGCAGAAGCAGCAGGGACCAAATGAACAGGTGGTTAAGGCGGTTTTGGATTGCTTCACTTGATGCGTCGGGATCACGTAGATGAATGGGAGAATTATTTCTATTTGGTTGTAAGTCTAAATGCAAAACCTGCCTCGATCCCTTACCCTCGCGATCTGTGGAGAGGGATATATTCATAATCAGCACATTTTGCTGTGTCATGCCTCGAGCTCGCGTCGAAGGTTCGTCTGTATTACTGCTCTGCCAGTGGTTTTAGATCCCTCATCGGATCAGTTGAGAGACCCAGATACAAAGTGACGAAGGCCCGTGGTAAGTATTATATCTTACTTTCTTCAACCCGAAGATATATGGGGAGTAATGAAATAAACCTTGAATCAAGCGTCTTGCTACGGCGCAACAGCACTAGGAGAAACTGCCACCTCGGTGCATTGCCTGGCTAATCCCAATCACCATCCAAAAGGTCCGCCACCTTCTTCCCCGCCAGAATATCCGCATGGATCTCTTCAATCGTCCACATCTTGAAATCATGGCCGGGAGGGAAGTTCGTGTTCTGAAAGTCCGTACCGAGCACCAGATGCGCGTACGCCTGGCCGTACTTCTCGTAAACATACGCCTCGGGATCATGCTGGAACAGCCACTTGGGGAACCGGACCTTGACTTTCTCGGGGTCTTTCTTGAGAACCTCATTCATATCGGCGGCCCCCAGGTTCTCGGAATTGACAAACGACATCTTTTGCACGCAGCTGACCCGCTGGTAGCGCAGGAGGTTGTAGATGCGCGCCCCTAGCGGCGCACCACCCGGCGCACCCCCGGCGCACGCGAGCTGCAAGCACGCCGCCAGCGTGACGGCGTCTTCGATGGCCAGGGTGCCCCCGCTGATCGACGCGGGCACGGTGGTATGCGCGGCGTCGCCGACCTGCACCACGCGACCGGCCTTGGACGTCCACTCGCGCCGGAGATTCCGCCACAGGAGCGGCCAGTGCACCGTGGCCCGCGGGGGGGTGTGGCGGATCAGGCCCTCGATGGCAGGATCCCAATCCGGGATGCGGTGCAGGACGTCCAGCACCTCCTGCGGGTTGACATCGGGATCCCAGGACTCGATGGGCTCGATTCCGCCGGGCTGGAGGAACTTATCACGCGGGCTCAGCCCGTAGGCCACAAAGTTTGGTGAGATAAACAGCCCCAGGTGCATGCCGGGCCCGATCCAGAACTCGTGGTGGGATTCCCCGCGCGCCACCACCTCGCCCCAGCGGGCCTGGAAGGCGGGATCCCGCAGGGCCAGCTCCGTTGGCAGCGCCGCGCGATACACCGACATGCCACTGGAGCGCGTGGGCGCGTGCCTGCCCGCTATTAGCAGGTCGGAGCGCGTCTTGAAGGCATCCGCGGCGACGACCAGGTGCGCTGCCCGCACGCTGCCGTCGGCCGTCACCACGCCTCCGACCCCGGCAGCCTCGTCTTCGAAGTACCGTTCCACCCGCTGGCCGTACTCGACTTGCAGGCCGATGCGCGCGACCTGGCGGAGCAGCATGCGGTAGAACTGACGGCGGACTTGGTGCGGGGCCACGTAGGGGAGGCCATGGCGCTGGGCGAGGTGCTCCGGGCTGTTGTAGCCCAGCGTCGTTGGGCCCAGGATTAGCTCGCCGTTGTGCCGGCGGTAATACATCACGCTGTCTGATCGATCTTGGTCGAGCTCGCGGCAGATTTCGGGCCAGTGGCGCAGCGTGCAGATGGCGGAGGGACCGATGACGATGATGTCTCCTGGAGATCGCGCCGGTCAGTACGTTGACTATGGGATGGACTGCACCGTGTCTTGTGGACGATGGCGTGAAAACATACCAGTATAGACAGGCCCTTGGCTTCGCTCCAAAATTCGGACCACATTGTGTCCCTTCCTCCAGCATTCAAGCGCCGTGATTAGTCCCGCGGGCCCGGCCCCGACGATCAGCACGTTGAGGTTCGTGGCGGGGGATCGTGGAGGCAGCTCGCCTGGGGTAGACGACCACTTTGCGGGGTCGAACTCATCCTTGTCCCCATGGGTGAGATACTCGTTTGACACCATTTTCGAAGTGTGCCGCGCCGGGTGCTTGATATCGGATGGTGCCGTGGGTAAGGATAATGCAAATCATATATCACAGGCTCATGTATTGTATCAGGACCTTCATCGGAGACTCTGATCTTTTCATTCTTTTCATTCTCGGGTCTCCCGCGTAATCGATCTTTTCACATTGACTCGCTCAGGTCCGGTTCTCGGAACTGTGGTGGATTCGCGAACTCGGGACATTTATATCTCGCGGGAAAACACAACATCCCGGGTAAGTCACGGAAAAGAGGTGTGGGTGTTTTATACCCCGATGGGTCGCATGGACCTGATTCTAATATTGGACTGAATGGAAAAGATTAGACTGAATGGGTGTAGCTGCATTCAGAAACTCTAGACATGATTCTTGAGAATACAATCAATTTATCCAGATAGTCATATTCATACCCTGTAACTCAAGTCTGACCGACCATCATATCGAACTATCTGTTCGCGACAAGCGTCTTGCTGCATATAGGTAACGACTCGTGATTACCAGACTTTCACAACAAAGCCTCCTTCCTAACGTAGCCGGGCCACCTAAATCCTTGTGTGTGTCAGTGGAGTTTGAGGGATCAGACGTTTCGGCGAAGCACCACGTCTGGTCGGACAGCCTCAGACGCAAACCCTACGTACAAGCGCAGCAGAGAGTGATAATGCAGCCCTACTATCTACATTGCTCGACCAACATCCTCATGCATAGTAAACCCTGATCTTAATCTGGTGAAGATTCCAAGATTTCTTATCTGCGCTGCATTTATGCTTAAGTACAGCAAGGCTGTCAACCCCCAAACAACTTTGCGCCACAGCAAACCTCCCCTCCTCGTTGGAATGTGCCAAACGTCCGAAACCCCGGATTGGCAGCACATCCATCGGGACATAGACTCCTTCGTCCCACCTAGCAGCCAGGCTTAGCCCGAGCAGAGTCAGCCTGAACCTCAATACCAGAGCAATACACATACAGCGCTCACAGACAGTTCAAGAGAGTCGCACAGCTCCTGCAAGCAACACGCCCTAGGCCCCAACAACCACATCGAGAGAAAGAACCATGTCGAAATTCGAGGCCTTCCTGCGTCCTACCCAGACCTATCACTCGCGAACCTACGACCGCATCTCCAAGCACCACAACTTCAACGGCACCGGAAAGACCATCCTGGTAACGGGCGGCTCCTCCGGTGTAGGTTACAGCATCTGCCAGGCGTTCGCAGAGGCGGACGTCGCGCGCATCGCCATCGTCTCACGCTCGCCGGGGCCGCAAGCCGCGGCGAAGGCCGCGCTGGAGGCCGCACACCCCGCGGTGCAGATCGTCACGTACGCGGCCTCGATCACCGACCACGCGCGCATGGCCGCCATCCTTGCCGAGCTGGGTCCAGTCGACGTGCTGGTGCTGTGCGCCGCCGTTGTACATCGCCAGGTGCCCGCAACCGCAATTACGGCCGCCGAGATGCAGGCCGCCTTCGATGTCAACGTGCTCGCACCCTTCCACCTCGTCCAGGCGTACCTGGCCACCACCACCGCAGGCACAAAGACCGTCATCCACGTGTCGTCCGCGGCGGCGCAGAGCCGCAGCCCGTTCCGGGCCGGCTACGGCCCCAGCAAAGCGGCTGCGACACAGGTCATGCAGCATTTCGCTGCCGAGCGCGCCAGCCCCGCGCTCCGCGTGTTCTCCTTCCACCCGGGCGCGTTCTATACCCCGTCTGTCGCGGAACATTATGCCCCGGATTCTACGGGGTGGGAGGATATCAATCTGCCGGCGCATTTCGCGAGGTGGTTGGCGGGCCCCGAGAGTGGGTTCTTGAACGGCCGGTATCTGTGGGCGCATTGGGATGTGGATGAGTTGATTGCCCTCAGGGACCGGGTGGAGCGGGATAGTAGCTTCTTGACCATTGGGCTGGTGGTGTAGATGGTTCTGGGTAGTACATCTGTATGGCTGTTTTGCAACTCGTTGGGGATTATATCTTCTATCCATTATCTGTGCAATTCGTGTTCACATCTGACACATGCTCTCTATCCGCGTCGCTAACCCCCTAAACACATATCTCTTGATTGCACACTTGCCGCACACTGCACATTCTCACACCTCCTTCCGGGGCACATATTTGCAGAATAGGCCCACGGGCAGACTCGGCCCCGGCGCGTTGAGGTCCGTCTTGCGGTCGAAGTGGGTGCTAGGCTGGCCCTTCTCGTCACACCCGCTCCACTCGTACATCGCCAGAGCATAAGCCAGGATGATATTCAGCTGAATTTTCGCCCACCGCATGCCCAAGCAGGGATGTCGACCTTGACCCCATCCGACGACTAGACCTTTGTCAGCATGCATGGCTTACAAAAAGCCGAGGAATCAACTTACACCCGTAGACCTCCTTCTTGAACTCCTCGCGCCCCTCGCGGAAGCGCTCGGGGTCGTAACGGTACGGATCCGGGTATAGCTCGGGGTTGAAGTGGACTTCGGTGGAGTTGTACGAGGCGAAGGTGCCGGCGGGGACGACCTCGTCGGTGCCGGGAATGGGGACGGCGTGGGGCGCCATGTTGAGGCGAATCATGGGGAAGGCGACCCACATGCGGATGGCTTCCTTGAAGCAGAGGTCGATGGAGGGGAAGAAGGACTCCCAGGCGTCGAGCGGGATGGTGTCAAGCTGGTCGACCAGGGGCGCGTGAGGATTAGGGGCGTGCGCCGCGGCGACAGTCTTGATCTCGCGGTAGATGCGCGCCTGCCAGTCCGGGTGGTAGGCGAGGATGTTCAGCATCGCGCCGCTGAGGTAGCCGGCGTTGGCGGAGGCGATGAACAGCGTCGAGATGAAGAAGGCCACCATCCACTCCGGCGAGTCGCCGCGGTCGAGCATGTACTGCACCACGTCATCGTGGCGCGGGGCATCCTTCTTCTTCTGCAGCCGGCGCTGCACAATCGGCGTCACGATCCGGCTCAGGCCGTAGCGGCCCCAGCGGCGCTTCAGCTTGGCCAGCGAGGGTAGGTAGGGCAGCGCCACGGCGTGGATGCTGCTGGTGTGCATCAGCAGCGACAGCACGCTCTGGGTCCTCGCGAGCACCGCCGGATCGTCCGCGATCTCGTCGCTGCACACCACGCGACAGGCCTGCTGCACCACCAGGCGATAGCAGGCGTCCGTCGGGTTCATGACACCGGAGGCGTGCTGGCGGAGCGCCTCGAATGCCCCGCGCGCGTCCCTCGTCACGCCGGGCAGACGCTTCCCCAGCTGCTCGGACTTCTGCAAGTCCACCAGGCGGCGCTGGAAGTAGCTGCGGCCGTTCTGGAAGTTGCCGTGGAAAATCGCGTGCAGCGGAGGCACGAAGTCCGGGCCGTGGCCGACCAGAGTCGCCCCGCGCACGAAGTCGAAGTTAGGGTTGTCGAGGAACACTTTGCGGGCCGCTGCCCCCGACACCCCAACAACGTGGTACTTGCCGAGCCAGAAGCTGAAGTGCCCGGTCTGGCTCTTGGCCACGCAGTCTTGCCAGAATGCCCTATGTGTTGCTCAGACATGGGTTGGTTTGGAGGGAGCGAGATGGCTATACTTACCATTTTTGCGTGAAGAAACTCCATGACCCCACCAGTGGCACGGTGTTGGGAGTGAATTGGGGGGATTTCTTGTCAACACGAGGGGTATACGAGAGGAAGACAATGTAGGCGAGAAAGGTCGTCACGGTCGCCACCAATCCGGTTATCGCTGCCTTCATCGGCAGCTCGAAACCATTAAACTGATCTGTGTAGGTCGCATCCATCTTGAGTGGATTGTTTGGGACACAGGGGATGAGCAGGGGGTCGGGTTGATCTTGTGAGACAGCCTTAATAGCTTATGTACCGTAACCTCAGATACATTATCGCCAAAGGGCAACTGGTCCCACTGGGCAAGCGAGACTGGTCATCATCGAATGGTCGGGATCGGGGAGTTTGCTTACGTGCGCATTGACGATGACGATTCCTAGCATGCAATTGACCCCTGTCGCTGCATAGCCCTAGCCTGGGAGTAGGACCGGACTCCGGTATGCTTCGAATCCCCGACAACAATAGCCCGATCTCCCAACCAAGGATAAAACCAATGGGTTGGCGGTATGCACGCGCGCTACTGCAGGAATCCTCACTGCTAGCTGACATTAAAACATCCAAAGGAGAAACAAAAGCATGTGCACTCTGTCATTAATGCGACCGGTCACCGTTCATCGATCCCGATCCACCAAAACACCATGCCGTCCTATCTCATCACCGGCGGAAGTCGAGGACTGGGCTACGCCTGGCTGAAGCACCTCTCCTCCAACCCGCAAAACACCGTAATCGGACTAGTTCGCGATAAATCCTCACCGCATAGCCATCCATTAGCAGATCGACTGACCAATGTCCACCACGTCTGTGCCGACATCACCGACCCCAAAGCCCTGCAGACAGCGGCTGAGCAGGTCCGCGCCATCACCGGCGGGGGCCTGGATGTGCTGATCAACAACGCCGCCATCTTGACCCCGACCAGCGCCTTCACACCGATCACGGACCTGTCGCCCGGGGTCCTGGAGCGCGACATCTTACAGTCATGCCGCACGAATGTGGTAGGGGTGGCGCACACCGTCAACGCATTCCTGCCGCTGATTCGAAAGGGGAGGGCCAAGAAAGTGATCACCATCTCGTCCCTGCTGGCCGATCCGGACCTCGTCCGAAACTTCGCGTTGGACAACGCGATGCCCTACGCGATCTCCAAGGCGGCGGCCAACCTCCTCATGGCCAAGTATCATGCCTCGCTTGGGGCGACGGAAGGGATCCTGTTCATGGCCATCAGCCCCGGCGCCGTGTCCAAGCCCGATACGGCCCCGTCCGAGGGCGAGGCGGAGGGAAGACGGCGGATGGCCGCCAAGCTGCAAGCGTACGCGCCGCATTTCTCGAGGCCGATGACGATGGAGGAGAGTGTGCGCCGGCAACTGGAGGTCATCGAGAACGCGACCGTGGAATTACATGGAGGAGCGTTTGTCAGCCACTTGGGGAATAAACAGTGGTTGTGAGGGATTGACCAATGGAGGGCCACTGCATCTTTGGCCTAGGGAGACATGTGTCGTCTCCTAATGACCCAGAACACCCTTTGAGAGTAGCACTGAGTGCCAGGGCAGAGAAACAGGTCATCGAGCACACAAGCGAGAGCATCTGCAAAACTGCCCAGCGTGTCCACACTACTTAGGAGCCACTGGTAACTAGTCGAGCCCAGCCCCCTATCCCCAGGCGTGCTCCAATAAACGAACCGATCACCAGGGGAGTGATTCGTATTCCACTAGTATTATAATAACAGCTACACAGTCTGCAAATCCGGTGTTTCTGCACATACATAGAATCTTCATCGAAGCGTAGTTTGATCAAAGCTATCTTGAGAGAAAGATAAACGCGCCCAGAAACACAGTCATGATGGCGAGTCCAGATGCCGACACAATCCCCGATGCTCCCCGCTGCGCATCACTTGGAAACTCCAATCCCCCTCGCACGGTACCATCATTGATCCATTCCTCAATCCACCCGATCGTCATTCTAAAGCTGCCAGTCAGACACACCCGGTCTCATTCCAGGGCTGGGGATAAACCTACTGGCTCCGCCGCGTATCCGCAAAGTTCTCATGATCCCCAAAAAGATGCTCCTTGTAGTACGGATCCTCCTTCATCTTCTTGTAGTGTTCCACGCTCTCGAACACCACCTGGCTGAAACAATCGTAGTCGGCGATGTTGGCCATCTGGCGATCATAGATCCGGTTCATCAAGAGGCGAGTCTGCGTCGGATTGTGGATCTGCATAGCCCCTGTGTCAGTTCGCGTGGCCACATAAATTGTGAAACACGATACACACCACCGTCCACCGTTTGACTCCGTATTTGACCATCAGGTCTTTTGTCAGGGGCGCCGAGACCTGGATCATATGCCGACGGTAGGCCTCCTCGCTCATACCCGGCTTGCGATAGCCCAAAATGGTCAAGCAGAGATACCGGCTGGGCGGGAGGCCCTCTGCTTCTGTTGCTGTCGTCGCAGTCATCGTAGCCATTTCTGGTGGTGTGTGTGACTCGTAGGGTCCTCTCATTGCTAACCCAGGAGGGTGTGATAAATGCCCCGAATATATGGGGTGATGGGTTCGGGTGGATTGCAGGGGGTTCGGGGTCCGGGCGTCGCAGTCCGCTTTCCGATTTCCATTTTTCCCGGTTAGGGTTATGTATATAGCCCACATCGAGAGCAACAAGACCGCTCTACAACCAGTCAATCCGGAACAAAAGGTAGAACAGCAAGGACAAACCATGGGCTCCACCGCAACCGAAACCGTCACGCTGAACTCGCAGATCGGGCTGTCGGACGAGCACGTCGGCCTACTGGACGACGCGGCCGTGGACCGCGCCTCGATCCAGGAAGCCAACCGGCTCCTCCAAAAAAACCACGAAGAATGGCACATGTTCTTCCGTGACCGGGCGGGCCACAACCACATCGCGCACTCGATTCTGACCTGCCTGGCGCTGGGGGCCGGGCCCGCGGACATCCAGCGCGCCTACGACGACGGGGTGGGCATCCAGCGGCCGATTCCGGCGGTCGACGGCGCGACGGTCGAGCGGCTCACGGACGAGGCCTTTTTTCTTGAAACGCTGGGCACGATCACGCAGTACACCTCGTTCCTGGTATTCTTCCAGCGACAGATGGACGCGCACGGGTGGCAGGCAGTCGTGAACAAGTACGTGTTCTCGCGCAGCGCAGTCGCCGAGAAGATGCTGGCGCGGCTGTACGAGGGCGCCTACCACCCGGTGATCCACCTGGGGCTGGGGATCGAGTTCCAGCAGCCCAGCCTCATCGCCGAGGCGCTGGCGCAGGCGGCCGCCCACGACGACAGCCACATCAGCCAGCTGTTCGAGGCGTGCGAGGCGCAGGCGGCCATCGCGTACCCGCCGGCGCATCCCAAGCCGCTCGTCCAGCTGCTGCGCGAGGCCCGCGCCACCGAGGCGATCCGGTCCGCCCCGCGCTGGGAGGACTTCGGCAACAAGATGCGCGACGGCGTCGTCGGCCGCGCCCTCCTCGAGATGGCAGCCATCGGCTCGCAGTTCACCGTCAAGCCCGACGAGCGCGAGCTGCAGCGCCGCACCGCCGAGATGATCAGCGTCTGCGCGTACATGGCCGGCGCCAGCCAGCGGCCCGGCCGCAAGCGCAAGATCGACTTCTTCTACATGCACACCCTCACCAGCTCGCTCTTCTTCAGCGTGCTCATCCGCCAGGCCTGGATCAGCCTCGCCGACCGCGTGCGTCTCGTCGAGTGGAAGGGCCGGCTGGATTTGGCCTGGTACGTGGTCAGCGGGTCCGCCGAGCTGTACGACGACGCGATCACGGACTACCACGACGACTTCAGCGCGAACATGGGCTGGAAGGAGTTGTATGCGGCCGTCAACAAGGAGCACGACGATGGGCATGTGGCGAAGATGATCCGTGCGCTGAAGAACGGCCAGGAGGCCGCGCGCCCGTTCGAGGCCGAGTACCCTGATGCGTTCCCGGTTAAGGGCGATATGTGGCTGCAGATTGCACGCATGGCGCTGGACACGACCAAGGACTGGCCCACCGACCAGAAGTTTGTGAATTTTACGGGCTTCGATATGGGGTGGAAGATCCGGCCAGATCTTGCTTAGTTTTTTTTCTTGGATTAGAATACAGTTGAACTGTTCATCCTATGTAACTAACTTTCCGGAATAGCTTTGTGCGGACCAACGCACTCGCATCGTATATTCTATTTCATATCGTAGGATCACTAGCTAGGCCCGGTAGATGGCAGATAAACATGCAGAAACGGAAAGAAATGTCTCGCTAGACCGGTGGCAATACACATCGGGGTGCCGGAGGGAAACTTGGCCGACCCATTCCTATTCACCACGCTGACATTCTTCATCTCGTAGCTCCCGTCCTCGTCATCCGCGGCCTCGATCATCCCCGCGGCCAGGTCGAGGTACGAGACGAACGATTCGTCGTGGTCGAGATTCAGCTCATGGCCGCGTTGCGCATCCACAGCGAGCCCGCCGGGCTTGATGAAAATCGTGGACACCAGGTCTGCCTGCGCCCGGAGGTAGGCCTCCGTCCTGCGCAGGTCCTCGTAGACGTGCGAGGCGGCGGTGCGAAGGATGGGCCGGAACCACCACGGCATGTGGCGGCTGAGATGGTCGTCGATGGTGCCGGAGGAGAGAAGGACGATTCTGGGGAGGGGTGGGCGCAGCTGGCCGTGAACCTTCAGCTTCTCGATCGCGGCGATGATGCTCTTCGCCGTGTCCAGGCCGACGTGGCAGCCGGGCACATTGTCGTTGGTCGTCACCACGTGGAAGATGGCGTGGGCGTCGCGGATGCATTCGGCCAGCAGGTCAATGTCGTAGATGCTCCCTTCGTAGACCGTGACGCGCTTGTTGTCGGCGACGGCTGGCACCTTTTGGGTCAGCTTGGCCTTGTTGCGACAATAGGCGTTGATTCGCGCATCGTTGGTGCGCAGCAGGTTGTCGATGAGAGCAGTGCCACAGTTGCCGGTGGCGCCAAGGATCGCGTAGGTCGACATGGTGTGACACAAAGATTAGTGACTAGGTCTTCTCTGTCTCTTTTCCTCGAGTCGGGCCGACCAGTCCATGATCTTATCGATCGGGCTTCTTGGCCTACGATGGCAGCTTCGGGGTTCGGACATGGGTGCTGAATATGACGATTGTCGGGAGATAGTAGTCCACGGGGGGATGCGAAATAGGTTGTCGGGGTGTAGCGTGTCCGAATTTGTCATGTCGTGTCAGTCGTGCCATACTTATTTCCAGGGACTCCCATCCAAGGGGGCGGGGTGGATGCAGGAAAAGGATGCTGCTTTGGGATTTGGTCGGGGTGTAGAATGTCCGAGGGAAGTTTGTAGCCCAACAATAGCAGGCAATTGACACCTCGGGGGTTAGGATCTCCGACATTGTCCGAAATTGTCTGCCATTGTCCGCCATCAATGGATTTGGCAGCGCCACAGATCCACGGCAATCAAGTTGTGGCAAACTCAGTCGCTGGAGGAAATAGATTGGAGAGTTTTGGTTGCCTGGATTGAGACTATAAAAGGGTGACCGCAAGTATGGTCTCGTATCGCCATCAATCTTCCAACTTGCCAGCTACAGTCAACTCTAGTTCAACATTATCTTGCCATTCAATCTTACTCTACACTGTCTTTTCGACTTAATTATAAACATGACCATCCGAGCCCTAAACCAGAACATCCCTCCCTGGACCTTTGCCGCCAACGCAGACGAACAGGGCCCAACTCACCCATTCTCCTCTCCTCATCCCAACCCCAACACCTGGGCCTTCCAACCCGCCCCGAACAAGGTCGGTCGCCCCGGCCACCCCTATCCATCGCCCTGGGCGGCGCAGCCCCGCGACGGAGACGACACCAACGAGGCCAACCACGAACGCGGTGAGGCCACGGCTCCGCGCAAGCCATATCCATACCCCGGGCCGGCAAAGGGCCACCCACCATACTCCTTCCCCGGCGCACCCGAGGCCCGCAAACCATACCCGTTCCCGATCTACGCGCAGGAGCCACACACCTACCCCGGCCCTCTCCCATGGCACCAGCCACACGTCTACCCAGGTCCAGCGGAAGACAGAAAGCCCTACCCTTCGCCGTGGGTCGATGACGACGGTGCAAAGCCCAAGCCATTCCCGCGCAAGCCATACCCCTACCCGGGACCTGCCGAGGGCCACAAGCCGTACCCGTATCCGGGGGCCATTCCCTGGCGACAGCCCTATCCCTCCCCATGGGCCGACGACAACGATGACGATGACGATGATCACAAAGGCAAGCCCACGTTCCCGCGCCAGCCGTACCAACCGTACCAATTCCCGGGTGCGCAAACACACGGCGCAGGCGGATTTCCTTATCATCAGCCGCCTGACACGTTCCCCGGGTTCCAGCAAGGCGGATCCCGTGGCCGAGGATGGGGTGCGAATGGTTACAGTGCACGCACCAGCTTCGACACACCCCACCACCCTTGGGGCTTCCCCCTCCTCTACTCCAATCAGCCTCCCTTCACGTTCCCCGGTGTCAAATCCGATGCATACCAACTCGACGTGGACGTGTTCGACACCCCCGAGGCTTTCGTGATTCACGTGCCTCTGCCCGGCGCGAAGAAGGAAGACGTCGAGGTCAGTTGGGACCCCAAGGCTGTGCAGCTCGGTATTTCGGGGACGATCGGTCGGCCGGGGTCAGAGGAGCTGCTCAAGACGATTGCGCTGGATGAGCGCCGGGTGGGGGCGTTTGAGCGCAAAGTACGACTAGGCGGCCCAGGCAGTGCGCCGAAAGTGGATGGCGAGGCGATCTCGGCCAAGTTGGAGGATGGGGTGCTTGTTGTCGAGGTGCCGAAGACGGAGCCGGATGATGTCGAGGTGAAGAAGGTGGTGATTGAGTGAGGGGGTTTGTGTAGGGATGAGGCTGCGGGAAGGTGGATGAATGGGGTATTGGGGTAGGGCAGTAGATAGATAGTTGATAGTTAATATACTGTACTTTATTCGTGTTCGCATCTCGGTTGACATAACCCGTAGCTATTTCTCGTATCGAGACTCAGATCTTATACAACCACTGCAAGTTTGATCTCAACCAATAAGCGATCCACAAGGATGTCTCACGCTTGCCCGCAAAAGGAGGAGCAGCAATATATATAAAAAACCTTCGCTCCACACAACAAGGTCTAAATGCGCAAACTGGACGCTTTCTACCATTGATTGTCTGGAGCACTATTAGGGTGCTCCTAGAAATCGGATCTACATTTGCATAGCAAACAAGAACACAGCGAGCCGCAAGAAGAGGGGTAGGGACTGAGTGGCACTGATCGTGCAGTGGCAACTGGAAAGGAAAGCCTCCCGTCCCGCAAAGTCGAACTTCCACCCTCCCTTACCTGCAAGCAAAGGCTGACTGCCCTGGAGATGACACGGTCGGCCAGACTGTAATTGTACCTAGAACCCCGTACTTTCTCAACGCAAGCCAGAGAAAATTCCTCCGCGGCCAGAAATATGAACCCGGCAACCGACCCCGACCTCGGGCTATTACGATTGCACCACGCGAGGAGGGATTGATGGGGGTCGCCAAACCAAAAATGCCCCGAAAACCGAAATACGAATCACCCGAGCCTCGCTTCCCGACGCCTTCATCCACCACCAACAACAACCACCACCACTTTATACAAGTTCCCACAGAGGGGGAAGGTGTGTGTTTCAATCCGGAAAACCACACTCGCACGACCCAAGCTCATTGATACAGTCCACGATGACAATCACAATGTCCAAGACCCCTACGTTCGAAGGTACCAACAACCACGCCAGGTCACATGACCTTCTCCACCCTAACACTCCCCGGCCTCAATCGCAGAATACTGACCAACCTCCCAGAGATCACAAGCTGCCAGCGCGTCCTCTTCGAATGGGCTGACAGCTACGACACGAAAGACTGGGAGCGTCTGCGGAAGAGCGTGGCTCCCACCCTCCGAGTAGGGTTGCCTTTCCGAACCCCTTCCTAGCCAGCCCGTTCCACCTCTGATTTCCCCTCTAGATCGACTACCGCTCTTTCCTCAACAAACTCTGGGAAGCGATGCCGCGCGACGAGTTCATCCTCATGGCCTCCGACCCGCGCTTCCTGGGCAACCCGCGCTTGAGAACGCAGCACCTGGTCGGGCTGAGCACGTGGGAGAAGACGGCCGACGATGCGATCGTGGGACGCCATCAGCTGCGCGTCGCCCATCAGCGGTACACGGATGAGACCCTCACCGAGGTGGCGGTCAAGGGCCATGCGCACGGGACGGCGACGATGTGGTACGCCCGCGTGGAGGGGGTATGGCGGTTTGCGGGCGTGTGTCCCAAGATCAACTGGACGGAGTTTGATTACGATCAGGTGTTTGCGGAGGGGAAGGAGCATTTTGGGGAGGGTGGGGCGGACTCTGAGGAGAATGGGCATTAAGGGGGATAGGTTGTATATGGAATGGGTAGATGAATGGATGCCGTCATTGATGGCGCGAATGACGTTCTGCAAGTACGAGGATGAGAATTGCGAAGGGTGGGTGATTATGTTTTACTATTGAGGATATGAACTTTTGGATGGGAGTAAGGATCGCAATTGCTGTTGTTGCATTGATTCATGAAAGCCTTATTCTTGAGTAATGAAGTCCTTTCTACAGGGCTCTTTCCGAATCGGCGACAGCTACATAAATTACTATCTAACTCTACTATCTAGCTTTTATCTACAGGTCACATTTACTATAACATAGGGGAAACTAGAAAAGAATAAAAACTAGAGATTTTGAACTGATAGTAAAGACGCTAAGGATCAAAATAGCATACTTTGTACCAGCTCTCCGTATATGTACATATGTTTATCTGTTTCCTTTTCAAAATAAGACATTGCATTGCTATAATTCGAGTGTTTGCATAGAGCAAAGACTATGTCGAGGGAAAAATATCCTAGGACTATAGAAGTATTTCTTAGAGAATACTAATATATCTTAGGCGAGGAATTTTTTTTCGGAGAAGTAGATTAGCAAGTATTTACAGCTGGTAGCCTAGGTCTTTCAATTATTCCCGATATAACAAGTACACCTATAAATCGAAAATAGCTCTATAAAATATGGTTTTTAGTTATTATAGTAACCAAGCCCACTAGCATATAAATGCCTGCTATACAACCGCCCAACTTAGCCACCAACCCACCATCACTCCATTATCCTGAAAAGTTTTGGAAATAGAGGAAGTTGATCGTGAAGCAATACTGGGGGCATTAGGAATACCTATTGCCCATTGAAATTTCAAGGCGATATTAGATGCTCCGATCTGAAATTTGTATATATATTGCGGATGATGAACAAATTGTCGCGCAGGAACCGTCACACTCTCTTACCACCAAGATCAAAAAAACAAATGTCAGGTTTAACTATAATACTCCTCCAACCACGACCGCAAAGCCCCAATGGTAGGATACTCCAAGAACAGACTCCCGGCCACCACAATTCCCAGTTCCTCGCGGAACTTCTCGGCGATTACCAAACTCATCAGGCTGTCCACACCCAGATTGGCAAATGCTGCATCGTCGGTGAGATCGGATTGCTCGAGACCGGCCTCATTAGCAATCAAGACCAGAGCCTTGCCGGATGTGCTGTCGGAGTTCACAGCAGGGGCAGCAGTAACGGCCGCCGGTGCTGGTGTAGAGGCAGGGGTCGATGCTGACGGATTGGCCTGGAGAGCAGCCTCTACCACCGCGGGCTTGGGCGGCGAGACAGGAGGAGCAGGCGCCGGGGCAGACACGGCAGGACCCGCGCCACCAGCAGCAGCATAGGACTTCGCGATCGACGAGTCCGGCGCGGCGAAGAACCGGTTCATGAGGATGCGGGGGTAGCGACGGAACTGGATGCCTCCCACCATCCCCATGATCACCTTGTCCTGGAAGACATACACATCACCCAGATACACGGACGGATCGTCGTCGGTTGGGATCATCTTGACATAGGACCGGTACCTCTGTCCCGGGACCAATGGCCGCGCGAAACGCATACTGTC